TCCTATCCCATTTGGGCCTTGTAAGTGATAAATTATGTGGCCTGCGGTCTCCTGTTGAAGCTTAGTATGCAATACTACAATTTCTGTGAAATTCTAAGCCCGTTAATATGGAGGTGGAAAGTATCAGGCTTGTTCTGTTCTCTGGTGACTGTTATAATTGTAAACTTCTTGGGGCAGGGACTTAACCACTTGTTTTAGGTAAGGAGCCATTTGCATTGATGGTGATGGTAGCTCAAGCTTTGTTAATTTCCTTTTATCCTCAAATTCTGAAACATTTGAGACTTCAGTTTACCAACAATTTGCTTCTGGAAAAGCATTCCATTTCAGTGTATGAGGGGAACTTTCAGCCATCAATATACAGAACCAGTGCATTGTAGGGTTTATATACTGATACTCCTGAGATGGGTGAATTTAATTTGAAACTAGGGGGAGGCTAACAGTTTGCTCCTAGACCAGGGGTCAGCAACCTTTAGCACTCAAAGAGCCATTTGGACCCATTTCCCACACAAAAGAAAACACCGGGAGCCGCAAAACCCTTTTGACATCTAAACTGAAGATAACACTGCATATATCATTTTTTTACCTTAATGCTATGTATATGATTTAGCTGCAGCTCTTGTTCAGTTGCTGAAAACTGTTATTTTTCATCTTACATTGTAAATTAGTAGGACTCCTTTCATATATTTTGAATAGGAGAACAGCTTCCTGAAGAATCAAAGTCAGTGCTAAAGGACTGCATGCAATAAACAGCGAACCCCATAAGTTCGTCAGCAGTAAAAGCAAATGAATCTACCCACGTATCATTAAAAGTTTGGTTTTCTTCAGAAACTTTTCTTCAATTTATCCATGGTTGGCCTACCATATAGGCCTACCACAATCACAGATACAGGTGTGTTTAGTGACTGATTAGCAGATAAACAGTCAAGTGATGTGAACTGTGACAGGTTCCAAGTGCAGCTTTTATCATTCAGAGGAAGGAGATTACATTTGGACAAAGAGAATCTTTTCAGCAGTGTTTCTTGTAACATGAGAGCCTGCAGGAAGCTTGTTCCACTCTTTCCCTGCAATGTCACAATTTACTTGACCTGCTAGCACAGTGTTCCTGAGTGGATGCCTCATCATCACCTATTGGTATTTTGTAACTCGGAGCCTTGGTCGCAGATCAGCGGTGTGATGTGTATTTTGGGTGACAGAGCTGCAGCAGAGGGATTCAAGAGCCACGTGTGGCTCCAGAGCTGCGGGTTTTGGACCCCTGTCCTAGACCTTCCCTAAATGGCAGACAATCCTGCATTGGGTTGAGAAAAAGGCAACTTGATAATATAAATGCCTATAAACCATGGTTTGTTATTGGGCTAAAACTCTGATTTTTTTTCTCTTCCTGGTTCAAGCAGCAGGGAGAATAAGTAAGGGATGGGGCACCCTTGAGCTGCTATACCAGGGGTCCTCAAACTTTTTCACCAGGGGGCCAGTTGAAAGGTGCTGGCGGGGCGTGTGGGCTGGAAAGGTGGTGCCACATGGTGCGCAGGGGTCAATGCAGGGGTGGGAGCAGGGTGCACGGCGAGGCGTGGGCACGCACGGTGAGTGGAGGGGAGGCACGGGCAGGGGTGGGCATGCGCCACGAGGTGGGTGCACGAGGCAGCAGCTTGCTTACTTGGAGATGGTTTTCTCCAAACAAGCAAACCGCTGCCTCTCCGTGCGCGGGGCGAGATGGGCAGTGGTGGGCATGTGCGTGGGTGCAGGTGTGAAGGGTCCAAATGGGCATGGCAGACCGGATCCAGCCGCCAGGCCGTAGTTTGAGGACCCATGTGCTATACAAAGTGGAAGAAATTTGCAGGCTCACAACTGCTCAAAAACAAGCCATGTTTAACAAATCATAGTTTGTTTAGCTGTCCAAGTTGGGCCAGTAGGTGATGTGTTGTTGTGGCAAATCCTGAATACCTGTTACTTTCAGCTGCACAACTTGGACATTTAGGTTAGGGTTAGGGTTGGGTTACATTTAGGTTACAGTTTGATGAAGCCTGCAGCCAAACTGAAATCTATTCATTTCACAGTTGCCTAACTTGTTTCTAAGCACATTTTGTAATGCAAAGATGTACATCCGAAGGTTTTGGGTTATGCCTCTAGATTGTATAAATAAATAAGTGCTTTATTTAGTTGTAAACCAAGTACATTTTAACTGCTCTGGTAATACATTATTATGTGCTCCTTGTTGATTAAATATATAAAGTGCACATTTAAATCTTATATCGATCAGTTTTCCTTTGTCTTGGCAATTTTTAAATCATAGCTTGAAACATGGTTTTGAGTCAACATTGATTTTTATTAATCCATCCTGCATGATAGCCATGGTGCAAACAGTACTGAAGTGAAGTACTTTACTGCTGCATTTATTGCTGAAGTAAATATAATTTGCTTGAAAAGTTCAATGTGAGTGCACCTTAATAATAAGGGTGGTTATAAAGTGATAAAACTTTGTTTTACTATCCTTTTAGAGGACACATATTTGTGATGTGGGATTTCTGATCCTTGCTAGTGGACTTGTGTCCGCCTAATCAGAGGGTGGAGGTTGAATTTAAAAAGCAACTGCAAAAGTATCATCTCTATCCATAGTGCCAGAGTGCTGAATATGGAAAGTCCTGTCCCTGCTGGCCCCTTCCTGAGTTTCCCCTCCTCTCTGACTCTGCCGCTCCTCTTACTTTGAAGCCCCTCATGATCCCAACCCAGCCCTAGGCCTCTCCAGAGCTTTGAGCCAGGCCTGCTGAATAGCACAGCAGTTTTGCAATACAAATACTCCACCCAGAATTGTCCCAGTGGGCAGGGCAGACTCTGTGACTTCAGCGGCACTTTACAAATGAATGGTGGGAATGGGGAATCCGCTGAACAGCCAGACCCACGTGTGTCTCATCCCACACATACTCTGGAGCAGAAGAGCTTGAAACCCTCACCTCTTGCAATCACGGAACTTCAAAACTGCCCAGGCAATGGGTTAGGGTCATGCCAGAGGAATCTTGGGAAGAGGGCTGCAGTATGAAGTGTGTTTGGAATGGTAAAAACTGATGATCTTGGCTCATTCTCTCCCTGTGGGAAAGGCAAAATGGAGCATGGCTATGGATAAGGTTCCCAACAGATACATGGGCTTCTGCTCCCATGCCTTTAGCACCAGTTGTACCTAGAGGCATGATTAGCAGGTGGCAGTATTATATCGCTATCCTCTGCAGAGTATCCATTGTGTTGTCTGCCAATCAAGCTGCTGTTAAATGCACAGGAGCATGCCAAGCCATGAGTTTTTCAGGCTGGCTGGCAACTTCTAGGTAAGGAAAGTCTGGATTGTTTTTGTGCATCACCTAACTGCAAAGGATATTCCCAAACAATGACTATAACAACAGCACCCCATTTGACTCTGACGAGATCAGGACATATTTTCACTCCTAACATAGATTACTTTAGCTGTCATAGCTTTCCCCAAAGAAACATGGAAATAGTAGTTGATGGGCTAAGATACGGTTTTGGGGTTAGAGCGTTGGCTTTGGACGGTTGAGACCCAGGTTCAAATGCCCCCTTAGCTCACTGGGTGACCTTGAGCCACTGTCTTTTGAGCCTACCCTACCTGAGAGGGCTGTTGGCTGCTGTGCAGATGAAATGAATGTGGGAAGAGAAAAATTAGGTGTGCTACCTCAAGTGTCTTGGCTGTTGGGATATAAACTTAATACATGCTTGAGTAAATATCTATAATCTTCTTTCTTGGAACTAAAATTCCTGGCAAGATGACGGACTGTTAAATTTAATAGCATGAACCAACCCCAGTTTACCATCAGTAGTGTACTGGCAATTTTTAGCCAGGATTGGAGCAGTACTGCAGTGGAATAGTTGATTTCTACAGTATATTTTAGAAAAAAAATCACCAATATGATGTAGGCAAGAGTGGAGAAGTTGTGTCGCTTGGCATTGTTCATGAGCCTGGCATCATTCAATACATACCCATTGTATTCATGAAATAATTTATGAGTGGCAAGCACCCCTAAGAATGGATATACTAGGAAGAAAATCACTGTTGGGTACTGAGAGAGAGTTCCTGGAGCAAGGGCGCCTGGATCTTGCACCACATGTGAGCAACAACTGTACATTCGTTGTGCTAGGAAAAAGATTGTCTAGGAAGTCCCTGAGATGAGAATGTTCTAACCACGTTGGCTTGTGGACTGGCATGATTGTGACATCGATGGTGGCTTGACCAATGATGGCGAGGCTGTTTTCTTTTCCTTTTGATGCTATCTTCTCTGATGGTGGCAGTGTTGGGGGGCTTTTGTTACATTCAGGGGTTCAGATCCATCGGGAGGGTGGAACTTCTGATCATCCTGGATGAGGAAACCTCCTTACTTCTCCCCATCCGGGGGTTGAAGGCAATTGACCAGGGACCACTTTGGGTCAGGAAGGGCGGTATGAGGGTATTCTAGCCCTGAAAGAGGGAAAGGGCTTGAAAGGCCTTGAAAAAAATGTGGTCTAGCCACACTGATCTCACACTGACTGGATGTTTTCTTAATGTTATAAATTCCTCCAAGCCAAGGTAGGGGAAGAGAGGAAGCTGCAGTTGTCCCTGGCATCTGTGTCCAAAGGGCCTCCTTATCTGATGCTGTCCAAAAGTGGATGGATTACCTCAGAGAGCTTGTGCCAAGAGGAGACAAGGAGTCCTTCTAATTTTCATCTGCTCTGCCTCACCTCACACATCCTGCCCAAGTCCACACCATTGCAACTTGATCTCTGATATCCAGACTGACTGGTGATCAAAGTTACTAGTCATTTGGGAGAAAATTAACGGAAGGGGTGGCTCCATGTGTGCTCCACTCTTTCACCTTGCTTCTGCCATGCACTAGGAAGTCTTGCCCAACAAGTGGCGATACTGCCCTAAATAATGTTGGCTCTTTGCCTCAATGTACTTGCCTGCCTGTCCACTCCCTCCGCAGCTTTCCTAGCCCCTCACTTAGTTTTCTTTCCTTTTCATGCAGCCTTATGTCTCAGTGGCCCAGCAGATGGCACCCCCGAGTCCCAGCGGCAGCACCAACAACAGCAGCAGCAGCAGTAGCGGGCCAGGTGGCGGCGGCGGCGGTGGCGGCGGTGGAGGGGACCAGCTGAGCAAAACCAACCTGTACATCCGGGGCCTGCACCCTGGCACCACAGACCAGGATCTTGTCAAGCTGTGCCAACCGTAAGTGACCGGAACAAAAAGACATGTAAGGAGGGAGGCCCATCTTGGCCCAGGAATGAGAAGATTCCATGGCCAGTATGGTAGCTTCCAGATGTGTTGAACTGCTGTCGCTCTGATCCCCAGCCAGTACAGCCATGTTGCTTGGGGTGATACATCTAGATGGGTGCCAGATGAACCTGTTGAACACACATGCACACATATACTCTGTCCATGCCAAACAGTCCTTCCCCAGTGGGAGTCCATGGGTAGGGGTTTTCATAGAGGGCTGCAACTCTTAAGCCTCCCAAAACAATTTGCATCCAACTCAGAGACCAGCCATAAGGAATTTTCATTTATGCATATGCAGAGGCCAGGCAGCTACTGAAAAAGGAAAGTTTTTAGGGCAACATTCCCAAACCCAGTGTGCTATAAATATGTCGAACTCCAACTCCTATCACTCCCAGCCACATGCAGTCCAATGCACCTGGAAAGCTGCAGGCTGGAGAAGCACCTTCTTGGAAGACAGAAAGAAAAAAACCTTAGTCATATCCCGAGAACTGATCATTGACTTGTTAATTGGGAGAATGGATTATGCCTGCAGCAGGTTCTGGACGTTGGACTTTCAACTCTGGAAGAAAAACCCAGATCATTGAGGAAGCCTTAACTTTAGGACTGGACCAGGGCAAGCTGGGTCAGGTCAGGCTTACTCAATGGAACAATTACATTGCTGTTTTTGGAACAGTTTTGGGAGCTATAGTTTGGCTCCTGGCAGAATTCTGTTCTCCTCCCCTTGCATGCTGGCTCTTCTGGCCATTTGTTCCTCCTGCCTCTGTTCACTCTCCAGCCCCAGAGACTTCGCTGGGTGGTGGATGGGTGGGCTGCGGCTGGTGCTCTGCTTCTGCCTGTTCAGGGCCCTCGCTGTGTGCAAAGAGCCTGGGAAAGCATTGCCCCCTCCCAGCTTTCCGCATCTTTCCAGTGAGGCCTACTGCAGGCCTCTCAGTTGGTGCAAGGATGGGGAGGTGGGCACAAAGGGGCCCCAATCCAGCTATTGCCGCCCACAGTGTGAAGGCGAGCGCCGGCAAGTGCAAGGAGTGACTAGGACGAGGATCAGCCTGTGGCAGGGCACGAGTGTCACATGCACCCTGGGCCCTGCCTCTCCGTTCCCTCTCTCTTGCCCCATGATCCCTGCTGTAGGGCAGGCGTGGGGAACTTGTAGATCTCGAGATGCTTGGCCTGCATTGGCCCCAGCCAGCAGAGCTGATGGCAAGCGATGCATGAGCGTTGTGGACAAAACAGCCGGGGGGGCACGAGTCGCCCCCTCCACCCTACGGGAAGTCAGCACCCCACACAAAGCTGCAGCCGTTCTAGCCTCGCACTGTCTCCCCGGGCCCAGGTGCTCCACCGAGGGACCTTGCGGGTCTCGGGAGTCCTCTCCCACCTCCACCTGAAGGCAGCCTTCCCCAACCTGGTGGTCTGCAGACATGCTGGACCCCAGTTCCCACAGCTGCCTGATGGCTGATGGGAGTTTAGTCCAGCACATCTGGAAGCCCCCAGGTGGAGGAAGGCTGTTCTAATACGGTTGCTGTGCTTGGTGCAGTTTCCTGGGGCATCCCCTTGATCTTGTGAGTGACCCAGAGGTGATGTGATCTTGGCCGAACCCCGAGCAGAGAGTCCTGACGCAGAATGCTGGGAGGAAAAGTTTTTTTGGAGCTACTCATTCGCTGAATACAGGCCTGTGCACACAGGCCTGCCACCATGTATTTAGGTAGGGACAGCTGAGTGTTTATGTTCCCTGCTCTGTTTGCCCGAGCCCACGTCTCCAGTCCTTGTGCTGAGACTGAGCCAGGCTATATAGTGGTTAAGGCTCGAAGGCCAGGAGGGGATGGGCGGGCGGGCGGGCAAGCAAGCAAGTGGCGGCAGTGCGGGGGGGCCTGTTCCTCGCTTACCTCAGCTCACCCCAGCCTGGAATGCTGGATCCGGCCCCAAAGCCGCACTTGACAAACACGCCTGCTTCAAAACCAGGAATCTGCTGGGATTCCTGAGCGGGAGGGAAGGGATCACAGGCGGGAGCTGCAAGCTGCTATGAGCCAGGGGGAAGGGAGGGGGAGGACGGATGGGCCTGGAAGTTTAACACAAAACTGTCAGGGCCTGGGTGCTGGGAATTCTGGGTTGCATTCCTGATTTTGCCCCCGTCTCGCAACATTTGCGTTCTCTGCCCGACTCTGTCTCAGTTCCCACATCTGCAGAGCAGTAGGCCTCCCCCCTCCCCGCCACTCCTGGAGCCGAAGAGCGCCTCGCCACCACCGCAGAGCTATCCATCCCACTCTGAAGCCCTGCAGCTGGACTCCCCTGAGCCCTGGCCGGGAGGCGCCAAAACTTGGCTGTTCTTGGCGCCAGTCGGATTTCCTGGGCTTGTTCTTCCCTGGGCAGGAAATCCTGCTTGGGGTGAGCAGGAAGCCGTGGGGGTGGGGTTGGAGGGCAGCTGGGATGGACTCTTGCTGGGCTTCGCAGTGGGGAAGGGAAGGGAGTCAGACTCCGCTGGCAGTTCCTAAAAGGAGGATTTGCTTTCAGTGGTTTGGGTTCACATGGACTCCCTTGATGGAAGAGATTACGGGGACGATCCTGTGCTTCCCTGCTAAGGAAGGCAGCCTGTCAAAATTGGTTGCAATTACTGCTGAATAAGCAAAACATTGGTTTGTGCTCCTTCTATGCACACAAAAGTTTGGAAGGAGAAGGGGTGAAGGGTTCAAAACCCCTTGAAGCATAAGAGGCAGTCCTAGCACAGTAGTTCAGAACCCTCACAGCAAATTGTAACTCTTCCAGGGCCTCTTTCCCCCTTGTCTCAGAGCATGCTGGGATAATGAATACCTAGTTAAGGGGCTTTTAGGGTTCTGAACTTGTGCTTCCCAGAATTTTAATGTAGATTACTATATAGGAAGCTTGCTTCTTTGAAGTAGATATTTCCAAGCTCTGTCATCCAAGCCTGTTTGTCTTACATGGCTGTGAGAATATTATGCAAAGTGAAATTTAAAATCCTGTTGAGAAATTAAAAAGGCTTCCCCCAGAAAGCCAAATTCTAAAATCTGAATTCTGAAGATTTGCATATCCTAATTACTTTACACAGTTTATTCCCCTTTTGTAAACCACAGAGAGGAACGTGGAATAATACAGAACACTGATGCCCAGACAAGTCTGTTCTCTGAAATCTCTCTAAGCCAACCCCCCTCTGTCCCCAGTTTGGTGCCCTCTACAGGTTTTGCACCAACTTTCACCCGCCCCAGCCGGTGTGGTAAATGATCAGGAATGCTGACAGTCGGCATTTCAAAATATTTGGAGGACACCAGGTTGTGGATGGATGCTCCAAATACTGCTTGCACATTTTGTAATATGTAGTCATAAGGATTAAGATCTTGCTCTTCCCTCTACCCGCCCCCTTCTTGTGGGAATGGGGGTTGAAACTCAGATCTTTCAGAATACTTTATCGGGTGTTTAATTCCACCTGTGCACAATACATGCCACCTTTGTTCTTTTAATTTACTATGAGTAAATTATTGCATTTCTATCACACATTTAACTTCTTGCAAGGAACGTGGTGGTCCTCCTGGTTTTGTACTTCTCGGTGCCATTTTGTTCGCAGTGAATGGCTGTGGCGTTCTAAGGGCAGCTTCCTGTACGGAAATGCCCAGGGACACACGTGCTTATGTGTTGGGGTGCCATTGCTGCCTGTGTTTCCTTGGCACACGCCAGCCACATATTTGCAGGCTTTAAATGTCATGTGTGCTCTCTGGAAGAACTGCGATCAGTCAGCAGCAAAGTCAGTCGTTCGTTATATAAAGTGGTAATTGGCCTACAGTATGAGCTTTTGTCCTGGAACTAGGGCAGGGATGTTGAACCTGTTGCATTCAGCCGTGGGGCTAAATTACATTTTGGGGGGGGAGTAATGGGGGAGCACATTCCAGTGGAGGGTGGAGCTGAAAGCAAAAGGGGCAGGGTCAAATATATCAGCCCTTTCTCTTAAGCTTAAACCTCCTACTGCCAGTAGTTAAGCCTTAGAAGAAGGGTTTCTGCCATGTAAAATGGGAGTACAGTCACAGAAAAGCTGGGAAGCTATCAAAGGAAACTGGTTAGAGGAAAAATGTAGGGCCCGGGGAATAAGGCATGGCCATCTGGGATACTATGGAGGCTCAAACTGGGACTGCAGATGGGTCAGATCCAACTCCAGGCCAGGGGTTCTGCAAACCTGACCTAAATTTCCTTAGGAGGGCTGCTGTGCCTCAACAGACAGAGATGTGGAGATAGCCCTATAGAGAAATGTCTTCTTAAGGTTTCTGAAGTAGGGTATAAGGCAGGTGTAGCCCACCTGTTTGGCTTGGTGGATGTGCTTGTCACTTGCAGGGTGGGGGCAAGGGCATATTTGTCTTGCAGACTCTGGGGATTACCTCTTGCCTCCCCTCCTCCTTCTCTCTGCTCAGGCAGCTTCTCTGCTGCCTTGCTTTCCACTGTCACTGTCCTTTCACACACTGCCCACCTCTGCATCGGCCCCTGCCTCTGCCTTCTGTGGCACTCACTCAGCAGTGAGGAGATGGGAAGGAGGCAGTTTGGGAGCTACCCCCCGATCTGCCATGGTCCTACTTCCTGGCTGCTGAGTGTGGCCAGTGGCAGGAGGGACAATGAGATGAGGGGGGTCTGGCAGGTGCACTCTTGGGTCTTGGCAGTCAGGGCTGCGGGATTCCAGCAGAGGGGCCTCCAGGGAGCTGGAGCTCTAGTCAGGCTTGAGGCCTGGCACTGCCATTTTAGAAATTCAGCACTCTCTGAGGAGATGCATCCCCTTGGGATTATGCATACCTGCCTGGCAGAGAACAAGCCTCTGGCACCTCTGGCACGCCTCAGGATGACAGTTACTATAGGAACTGTGCTAATTTGATATTTTGCTTTGTACCTTTTCTATACCCCTAGGTATGGCAAAATTGTCTCCACCAAGGCCATTCTGGACAAAACGACCAACAAATGCAAAGGTAGGCGCACCCGGCTTCCACTGTTGGCTCTTGTGAGGGGAGTACCATGTAGTAACAGAAGAGGGGTGAGCTTGCCAGGGTAGTATCAGAGCTGGGGCACCAAGGTGATGCTTGTGGGTCTGCTGGGGGAACCCTGGCAGCCGCAGTCTTCCACTGCCCCCCCTTCCCGCATGCCGTGGGCCCAGGATGAGGCCCCTCCCTGCCAAAAGAACCCCTTCCTTCCCAGGTTTGTGGCACTGGGATCTCATGGGCTTGTCAACTCCAGAAATGCGCAGGGCGGGGGAGAGGCAGCGCTGGCTCCCAGAGCTGTGTTGCCAGACAGAGGAGGCCGGTCCTGCCTGGGGGGTGGGGATGGGTTATCTGCGTGGGAGGGCGGTGTCAGCGGGGCGGCAGTGGGCTGAGCTGCATTCCTCTCATGCCAGACATTGCTGGGGGGAGGGGGAGGCGCATCCACTCCGAGTGGCGGCTTGCAGGGAGAGGGGGGATCGGATCCTTCCCTCTGCAGCCTTTATGACCTGCAGATGAGACCGATCCTGCCTTCCCTGATGAGCTGCAGGCTGACGCTGCAGACCTCCTCCGGAGATGATTGGCCTGCAGCTGCGGTGTGGCACCATGGTCAGAGTCTTGGGCTGCAACTCAGGAGAGCCGGGCTCTAGTTCCCCACTCAGCCATGAAGCCCAATGACTTTGGGCCAGTTGCTGGCTCTCAGCCTAATCTACATGCCAGGGTTGCTGTGAGGACAGAATTGGGGGAGGTTAGGAACTCTGCTTTGAGTTCCCCGAGAAAGGAACAAAGCGTGGGCTAGCATGCAATAAGATATAAAAATGTTCCCGTCATCCCTCATTGCTGTGCATGCTGGCTCATGCTGATGGGTGTCTGGAGGGTCACAGGTTCCCTCGTCCTGTTGTAGGAAATGGAAACCAGGGAGTGGGTGTGTGGAATGAGAGTGATGTGGTGCTTCTGCCATAGAATGGGCTCAGGACGGTGTGCCAACCTGCAGAAAGCAAAGTGTGGTTTATACAAAAGGGCCCCTGAATAAGCAGTTGAATAGAAGAAGGATCGCTGCGGTCTGTCCACTCTTGCTTTCATCTCCTTAATCCTACAGGCTATGGCTTTGTGGATTTTGACAGCCCCACGGCGGCGCAGAAGGCAGTGACTGCACTCAAAGCCAGTGGGGTCCAGGCCCAGATGGCCAAGGTAAGACTTGGACCCCAGCTGCTGTGTGGAGAAAAGGAGGGAGGCCGCACCTTGCTTCAGCAACCCAGTGAGGACCAGCTGTATGAGAAATCCCAAGCAACCAACCCGCGGGGTTCCCTGCAGTTTCTCCCAGCTCAGGCAAGGCCTTTCCAGAAGCCAGTTTGCAAGTACATTTCCATGCCCTTTCTACGTTGCAGTGTGCCAGGGGAGCCACTTTCCGTGGACCCATTCCCTCCACAGCAGTGCTGTTATGCTTAAAAGGGCTGCCCTGAAAACTCAAAATCCAGGGCTGGTGGGATTGTCCTTATTCTCTTGCAGGGCCCAATGCATATTGCTAAGGACTTTTTCTGCAAAGCACTGAGTTGCACTCCTAGCTCCTTCTGGGTTCAGGAGAACATTTTGCCCCAAGCATTGCAAGGACCGCAGGCCATATTCTGACGTGTCCAGGACTGTATGGGAAGCAGACCTGGGCCATGAATCTGGCCTCCCTTGGGAACATGAGACGCTGCCCGGAATCAGCTCAGGTGAATTGTCCATCTGGTCCTGCACTGCTTACCAAGGCTGCAAGTGGCTCTCATGCTCTGAGGCACAATAGGGTCTTTCCAAGCACCTGCGACAGAACCTATTTCAACCTGAGTACAAAGAGGGCGTGTGCCTGCTCTTTGGCATACATCTGTTGTTTGCTTCTCAAATCCAAGGCCTTAACCCTACTCAGGCTTCGGATGGTTTAATCTCTGTATAGTCCCCCTTTCCCCTCCAGCAGGAAGAGCCCCCCACCCCTCTCCCAGGACTCAGACCAGCAGCTGCACGGGGAATAGCATGCTGCTGCAGGATCAGGCCCCTGCACCTGGGAAGAGGCTGCTGCTACTGCTGCTACTCTCCGTAGGCCTGTCAGCTGCTTCGCGCTCCACATTTCCACACAGCAAACCTGGGCGAATGCTCCGTTCCGCTGCTCTGTCCCTCAGTTTACACAGCAGTGTGTGCATGTGTGTGTGTTTGTATCTTTAAACCTCTGTGCATAGGTATTTGGGGACCCTGGCACATCTGGGGGCGGATCCTGTCCTTGGTTCTGCCGTCCTTGGTTTTACCTCCCTCCTGCAGAACTCTGTGCACCCTCCAGATCTGCTCCAGAGGATGCGGGATCCTCCGGGGCACATCCAAACAGTGTGCAGGGGCTGCAGGGGAAGAAAGAGCACACAGAAGTGCTGCTCCACAAAGCAGCATCCTTCTGCTGACAGAGCCAAAGGTCTGTATCAGGTCTGTGGTATATGCACATGCAGAAGTACATGTGTCACCACCCAGCGTACTTCTGGGAAAAGCTGATCTAGTGCCTGCGGCAAATGTATGTGCTGTACGCGGCCTACATTTTTACTGCATCTGCTGCCAATTTTGCTTTCCCAACCCTTGAGTCCTTCCGGTCCTCGTAAACCCCAAGGAACAGGTGCAGCTAGGCTTGCCCAGACCACAACCTGGGATCGTGGGCTGCGTCCTGTGCTCTGTGTGCTGCTTACGTGTTGGGAGTGCTGAGGCTGGGAAGCGGCAAGTGTCGCATGCCCAGGCAGCTGAAGCGGTGCAGAGAAGGGGCATTCCGAAAGGGATCCATCCCCAGGGGTGGGATGGACTATTAGCGAGCAGCTGCCTGACTTCTTTGTTTCCATAGCAACAGGAGCAGGATCCCACCAACCTCTACCTGTCAAACCTGCCTTTGGGCATGGACGAGGCTGAGCTGGAGTCGATGCTGAAGCCATTCGGACAAGTCATCTCCACACGCATCCTGCGCGATGCCAGCGGCACCAGCCGGGGAGTCGGCTTTGCCAGGTCAGGAAGTGCGGGCAAGGCAGGACGGGCACCTGTATTCCGTGACACGCTCCTTTGTGCTCAGGCTGTTGCCACAGCGGTGGCAGCTTGCACGGATATGCCTTTCTAAGGCAGGCGGGTCTGTGCGCTCCTCATACGGACAAGCATGCACTTGCCTGGTATTATGGTCCTGCAGAGACATGGAGACTGTTGTCCACCTGGAAACCAACACCTCCCACCCCGCCTGCCATGAACAGGCTTCTTCATCGGCACTCCTTTGTCCGAGCATCTGGTTCTTCAGGAGCACTTGCACAGAGCTCACTTGGCAAATGCTCCCTTATACATGGGAAAGTTGCAAATATGCCAAGCATTTGCAGATATTCCCCATTCGTGTGGGGGTTGGGGGCAGGGGGAGTTTGCATTTCCATTTATACCCTGTTCTGCTCCAAGGATTTAGTGGACCACAGGTAGTTCTGAACCAGAAAACTGGACTTGCTGCAGTTCTCTTTCACCTCTGAGTTCATTGCTTAGAGCTGGTCTAGACATTGCATTCAGCAAAGCACTTGACATCCTGGGCCATGGAGTCTGACCCCCAGCTCCAGCCAGCTCCACCCATGTAAACCCCAACATGTGGTTGTCCAATCTTTCCTGGAACACCCTCACTGATGGGGCCTCCACCACCTTCTTGGAAGCCCGTTCCATATCCTAGAGGTCCTAACCGCCAGGAAGTACTTCCTGACATCCATCCTGAAGCCCTGCTCCTTGAGCTTTGTCCCATTGGAATGCGTCCTGCCCTCCACTGCAGGGAAGGACAGGTCATGGCCCTCCTCCACATGACTTCCCCTCACATACCTATAAGTCACTGGAAGATTCGCTCAGAGTCTCTCCTCTTCTCCAGGCTGAAAAGGCCCAGTCCCTCTCTCTCCTCATATGTCATCCCTCCCAACCCGGCTACCATTCTGCACTGAACCGATTCTAACTTACCTATGTCTCTCCTTTAATGTGGAGCCCAGTACAGGACACTGCACTTCAGTTGTGGGCTCACCAGAGTCGTGTAGAACTGTATCAACACCTCCCTAGATCTGGAAGTCACGCTTCTGGCTATACATCCAAGGGTGGCATTTGCCTTCATAGTCGCTGTGTCACACTGCTTGGCTCATGTTTAGCCTGCTGTCAACTGTTTACTAGTAATAGTTTATTAACTGCAAGCCTCTCAAAAGACGAACCCATTGTTTGTTGCTGGGTTGCTTAAACCACATTTCTGTTTCAATAACTCCAGGTTATTTAGACCATGCATTGTTGCTATGTAAGAATCCACAGCTGTGGGCTGTTTTTGCCTGGCTACAGTTGTCATGGGCGAGAAGCCATTAAATGTGTCAGCATAGCAAAGACATACAGGGAGGAAAGTAGGCAAAGGTGGAGGGAAACACACAACCCAAGCATGAAGCAAGCGGACGGGCTTGTTCCCTTGTGTAGCGGAGAAGCTCAGAGAGAGCAAAACCCCCAGGTTAGCCTCGGGGTAAATAAGGCATGAGTTGCCATGTGCAAATTCGATCAAGCTGCAAGGGGCCATTGCACTATGGGTCTTCCTGCCTTGCCCTGTCCCCTGCCAGCATTCCTCCTCAGTGGCTCTTGGCAGGCGTTCCGGATGGGGAAATTCCCATAGTGAGTTGCAGTAAACTTTGGCGTTCCTGTGGGGCTGATTGCGTCTGGACAGGCTCTCAGGGAGACTGGTTGGCACGGGCACGGAACGGGGAGGCTTGTGATTAGACGCTTGCCTCCAGCATGGAGAAAATCTGCCCTCAATGAGGCAAGGCCAAAGGTCCAACTAAGCCAAAGATTTGGGGCAAAGTTAGCGAGCGTCGGCTAAGCCTGTGGGTAGGGATGCTGACTGACTCTTGGGAGCTTGGTCTTAAGCGGCACAAAGGTGGTGGGGCGGCGAGAGCAGGGGCTGGACCTGGACCTGGGATACGCGGATTCCTTCCCTACGGACCTGCAAGCTCTCTGCCAGTTATTTGCCAGAGGGTAGAAGCACTTTGGGCCGTGCGTACCCTGAGGCCAGGATGGTCCTGGGCTGCTCAGAAACCCTGGGTGGGCCAGTAGGTCAGTTCCACAGTCTCCTCTTTTGTGTGCCGAGGCCGCTGAGTCCTCCTCTAATCCTGTCCTGCACTGCCCCCTGCTGGTCCCCCTTTTCCACCAGACAAGCCTTTTCTCTGCTTGCTTTCTCTCATTGCCAACAATTGCATTGTTGTGAAAGAAACTATCACTCAAGCCTCTCCATGTGAAAATGAGAAATCCTAGGAAAAAATAAAGAGTTTCAGCCAACATACTAAGCCTTAACCTGTTTCAGAGTCTCAGGATGGGAAATTCTACATGTAATACAAAGTTTAACATTTCTATACAAAAACATGGACCAAAAAAAAATTCTAACATGATTATTCAGCCATAGCTGAGTTCAGCTCATTTAAAAAATAACAGCCTTCCCTTTTCCATAACAGCATAACTGTTCCAAGAAGTTGCTTGGCAAAAACTGAACAGGATTTCTAACAGTGTGATCTAAAATATACTTGCTTTGTTGTTTTAGTTAACATTCGAGTAGTATTTTAATACTGTATTTAAATATGTTTTTTTACATTGTGTATGAACCACTTGGAGACTTTTCATATTAAGCAGTATATAAATGCAGTTTACAAATCAATAAGGGAAACTTGGTCTGTAGCATACCCTAAAATACAATTTATAACAACAGGTTAACAGAGCCTCTTTAATTGTTGCTCCATAGTAGCTGCTGCCACTGGACTCTATTGCTCCTGAAGGAATAGGAGAGAATTAGGAGAAATAATTTATCAGATGGTGGTGACTCACATCCTCCCCCATTCACCCAAGCCACTAGTCCTCATGCCCCACACCTCTACCTGCTGCAGCTGTCAGTTATGCTTCCTGCAGCACTGTGGGCCTCTATCTAAGTAGCTCTTTGAAGCTAGCAGGTCTTGGGTGCAGTCATCATGGCGCAGCAGTATGCAAACTCTGGCCTGTGTTGTGGCAGCTCTTCCTTGCACTGGAATGGGGGCAACTGATTGTTTGGGGATGAGGACTAGTAGCCACAGGAGAATTTAGGTGAATGCTAAATTGTGAAACCAAAATGGATCAGCTGCACTTTCTGTCTTCCAGGGCTGATGTTAAATTCCACACTCATGGATTCAGATTTAAGGTCACCCCATGGAAATGTGACTTGAGAATCAGCTATCTCTGTAACTTTTCCACCTGGAATTTGTGAGCAGGGTCTTGTGGAGTCCTGTTCATGGGATGAGTTTGAGGAGAGTCACATGGGCAGATGATTTCTAATAACTTCTCTAAATAAACATGGCCCAAGAATAACTTTCCAGTTGTATTTCCTTGAGTGCAAGAAAGAGTTTGAGATGTTCTCAGTGTTCTGCCTAGATTTGCCACCACCTATGCAACCCTAGCAGGGCTTCTGTCCCTAACAATCAGAAATGGAAGAAATGGCGCTTTTTCAGCCATGCACCTCCTTGCTGCATCTGTTGCATTCTTCCTTGTTTCCCAAGCATTATAAGCACAGAAACCATACCAGGAGGAAGAGGAGGCATTCCTCAGTCCATGCTGTGTACAGCAGCCTCTCTTCCTACACGTTCTGTAGGAGGCTTGGGGTGGTTTGTCTGTAGCCTTGCTCTATAACCAGCCCTCTCTCCCCACTGCATGCAAAGGGCCGGTCCCCTCCCCATTCCAGCTGTGCTGACTCCTGCTTCTCTCTTCTTCCCAGGATGGAGTCTACAGAAAAGTGCGAAGCCATCATCACACACTTCAACGGCAAATATATCAAGACGCCCCCCGGGGTCCCAGGTGAGCAGCGCAGTGGTGGCAGTGATTCCTGCGGGAGCACAGTGAGAGCAGGACACATGGGCTGCACTGGCTGGGAGCTTCAAGCGGGGCTAGGGAGTCTGTTTCCACATGCGCTGAGCTGCGCAGAGCGGAACAGAACAGAGCAGCCGTGCGTTTCCCACACTGCCTCACCGTAGAGTGTAGGTGGGAAACGGCATGCTTGGCTTTTCTCCCGCAAAAGACTCCAGACCAGAGGACTGCTGTTCTTGGGCAGAATCAGAATGAGGCCGAGAAATGAAGGAATACACCCTGGTGACAGCCATTATTTATTTATTTATTTATTTATTAAAACATTTCTATGCCCCCCTTGCCAAGGCCTCGGGGCGGCTTACAACATTGAATACAAAATACATTAAAACAATGACAATTAAAATATATACAGTAAAATAAAATAAGCCGCCCTGGCCGAATAAAATTCAATAATATTAACATTTAAAATGCTGCATAAATAAAAAGGTCTTCGCCTGGCGCCGAAAAACAAATATGCTTGCTAGTTGGTGTGCCTTCTCTCTTACCACCCTCAAATACTGTCTTTTAAAACAATACCATGTGTGAGTTGGTGAAGGGAGCTGGACCTTCCCTGCCATGGCCACCCGGGTCCCCACTCCACCCTTTCCTTGCTGTGCTCTCCTGTTTCAGGCACTCGCATTTCCAGCCCGCCTCCTTTCTGGCTCTCTTTACCAGCTGGCCTGGGAGACAGAGTGGCTGGGTTTGGACCATCAATGGGAAAGCCGCGGTGGTTTCTTTCCCCTATCCCTGCACATGCCACGTGATTTCCTTGTGATCTGCCTGCGTGACTTCCCGTGTCATTCGTACCTGGTGAAGTGTGTGGTGGAGGGATGGCTTTGAAACCTCTCTGGACCCTGCAAGCCACCAATCCTAGGGTGGTTTTGAAGCCACCCTTTTTGCTCAGCTCTCCAGGTTCGGATGTTGCAGGAAGCCAGGCACTCCATGGGTCATTAAGCAAATTGCACAGCTTGCCTCTGTCCTGCACGAGGGCAGGGAAAAGAAGCCACAAAGGTTCCTTTCCCTGCTGATCATCTGAAGCCCACCAGTGATGATGTTCACAGAACATGAGAAGGCCTCGTGGCTTAGAAAACAGGGATGCCTTGCTGTTTTGCTTGAACCAACCCACCTTGCTGCTGGGTTCATGCATATTGGGGGTGGGTGGAGAAATTAAGGAGGGGGAGACTGCAGGTTTTGCTCTCAGCTTAATACCACCCACTCTGTTATATCCATGAATGAGGCTTAGGACCTCCATGTAGAGATGAGAAGGTGTGGGACAACCCAGAATGGATGAGGGGAAAGTAGTGCTCCTCAAAATGTTCTAAAAATTCCCAGTTTTCTTCTTCTGTCCCTCCCACAAATCCCCATTCTTCTCCCATGTTTAACCTAGACCTTTGCATCTCTAACCCCATCCTGTCTAGTCTGGTCCCATGTCCATGTCCTGGCATGTGTTTTTAATATGCATTTCTTTCATGGAGAGTGTTTACTCCCTTCCCCCCACCTCACACATACACCCTGCAGCCCAAGTTGATGCAGTTTCAGATAAGCTGCCATGTGTTGTTGTTTCACATGCACTGGCCAGCTAGCCTGCTGGCAGAGGGCCCAGCGAGGGCAGCCCAAACCAGTCTGAATCTGGACAAATTGTACAAAAGGACTGGCATGACAGGGGGACGGTGTAAGATACATATTTTCTACCACATATGGGAGAGAAGGGGCATTTGTTACCCATTCCCAGGGAGCACTAATCATGGTGAGAAGAGAAAGCAGAATGGCACGCAAGCCTGAAGGTGTGGTTCCGAAATGGTCGCTATTCTTCGCTTGGGCATCCCATGCATGCAGATATGAGTTGCTCCATGATGAAAGTTTTCTAGATGTGGCCCTGGGGTTCGTTAGCATGGCAGTCTAATGCTGGAAGTGCTGATATGGCAGGAGGCCCTTTGCAGGAGAGATCTGGGCAGTGGTGGGCCGCTTGGGTGGATGGTCAGGGCCACATGTGAAGCGGGGGCATAGGAGGGCACCTGCCAAGAGTCCTTGGGAGCAGTGCCTCCCCCTGCTCAGTACTGCCACCTTCTGGCCCGCCTGCCCATTGCTTTGGCATAGCCAGAGGAGGTGGTGAAAAGAAAGAGCAGCAGGTGCTGCAGCCCCCTTTCTCCCTGCTCGAAGCCCGTCAAGAGGCAAGAAAAGGACTGAGGGCCGAGAGCGGCTGGGATGATGGCTGTGAGAACGTGGCCTCGCTGCGGGAGGGGCCCCGGGGGGGGGTGCCTTGCCCAGGCACCCTCTGCAGCCTGGAGCTGGTTCCTGCCTCATGGGCCAGGCATAGTAACACCCCAGATGCTAACCCCCTCTTCTGCTTAAACCCAGACATGGGTGGTGCATTCAACAGACCCTTAGCAATGGCCAGGGGTCCAATTTTGTGTGGGGCATGTGGGGTGGGTGGGGTGAAGCCACTTCCCCCAGGAGCCTAAGGAGGCATATAGGAACAAGTGCCCGAGTCATACAGGCTGCACAGCTTCTTTGGACCTCCCCGTTGTCAGGGCTGAGGCTACTGGCCCAGCTTTCTGGCCTTGCCTGGGGGGTGAGGGCCAACGAGGATCAGAGTGTGGGTTTTGCTGGAGGTGGAATCCGAGGACTCTGTGCAGACGTGGCTTTTCAGTTGGGGCTGAAGTGCACTGGCAGCGCTATGGGACTGAGGAATGCTGGCAGAGCCGCGAACACCCCCAGTCTGGAGCAAGGAGGGATCTCAGCGCTGCCCTGTGTTCCCTTTCTGCAGCTCCTCCGGATCCGTTGCTTTGCAAATTTGCCGACGGTGGCCAGAAGAAGCGCCAGAATCAGGGCAAATATGTGCAGAATGGCCGAGCCTGGCCACGGGAAAGTGACACGGTAAGTGGGGCGGGGATAGGCAGTAGAAAAAGGGGAGGGGGAGTGCCTGCAGCAGTTGGGGGTCAGCCCCTCTGCCATGTGCCAGCAAACCTCCGATTCCAGCCTTTTCTGTTTGCATGGAATGACCCAGAGGCAAAGACTGCGGGGACGCTTGTGTGCCTGGCAAGGTACTTTATGTAGCTGTGGGGCAGCCACAGGTCATCTGGGCCTAGATTAGACCTCAGAGGCTCTCTTTCAGGGCTTGACCTGCTGCCCCACTTTGCCCGAACTGAAGGCCCAGTCTCTCTGCTGACTAGGGTGAGATTGTGGCTTGTTCCCTAAGGAGGCTGGGATCCTGGCATGTCAAGAGAGCAAAGGGAAATCTGGGACCTTATTTGGATTCTCTGATGTTTCCTTGCAGGGTGGGATGACCTTGACCTATGACCCCACAACAGCGCTACAAAATGGGTATGTCTTTTCCTTCCCTTGCCCCTTCACATCTTTATGAAGATCATTTCGGTAGATGGACCTGCCACAGTCCGCAAGGGACCCAGCGGAATAGCACCGGAATGCAAACCTGTGGGGAGAGTGTCCACTCCGCCCTTTCTACGGGCCCTGCCGGACGGAAGGGTCCTAGTGCACTGGGCAGCTCTCCATCTTTTCTTGCCTCATGGATATTCTGCAGCTGGAAAAATGAAGGCAGATGTAGTGGGGAAATGCAAGGGGTGTGGCGGGTGGGAGACAACGACACCTGTGCCTGGGCAGGGTGACGGCACCAGACAGCATCCTTATGCTTGGTGCGAGCTTATCTCTCTTTCTCCCCACAACCTCTGCAGGTTCTATACAACACCCTACAGCCTGGCCCCTAACAGGATGATTGCCCAGACTGCGCTGTCTCCTTACCTCCCATCACCGGTTTCCTCTTACCAGGTGCGTGACCTGCACACGCTCACGGTATTGGTGCAGCAGGCCGACCGAGGCCTTTTGTCCCCAAGTGTGGCAGAATCGGGGAAATGGCCGCAGGGGGAGTCTCTCTCCGCCCAAGAGCTGCATTCCGCCTTGGATTTGCCCTCGGGGCACATTCCGGCACTGGGTGAGGCCCCAGCAGAAGAGGTGGGCAAATGTACTCACATGCGGTAGCACTGCTCCTTTCCTGTCAGCCCCCGAGCCTCGGGAGACCTTTTCGAATGGACAGACAGCTCTGCAAAAGCCAGGAGCTGCCAAATGGCTGGCAGTCGGAGGACCGAGCGAGCATGTTAGTGGCAGATGCTTCGGCTCAAACACAAGTCTTTCCTAGTTATGTGGAAGGTTATAAGAGCAGAAGGGCTTGCCGGAGCTCTTCCCCCACCTCTGGCCTCCTTGCTCTCTCCTTGGATACTTTGCCCTTTGGCTGACCTCTGATACCTGAAGTGAGTTGAGCTGAGGTCATGGGGAAGCTCTGGCACCTGAAGTGGTCGGCCACAGGTTGTGGGGAGGTTCAGCCACCTTCAGCCCCTCCTCCCTTTGACTCTAAGAGCAGGACCCCCTCGCCCTGGCTTTAGTTGTGATCACAGAAGAGCTGGGCTTGAACCGGCCTTCCCCAACCTGGGCCCTTCCAAATGTGTTGAACTGCACCTTTAACCTGGAAGGATCTGGACTGGGGAAGGCTCAGTGAACCGGATGGTTCTGCTGGTGTCATGTGCAACCCGGGCCCCAGAGTGTGAGCCATGAGCTGGAAAGTCTAGAGTGGGCTCTCGCTCGCTCTGTGGCCTTAGTCAAGCAAGTACACCCTGCCCTTCCCTATCAGTGATATGGCAGTAATAACCCTGGACTGACTGCTGTTCCATTTCTGGACTATTTTAAGAACTGCTCTGAAAATGTGTGTGAAACGAGCCAGGTTCTCCTCCCTGTCTCTAGGTTCACAGCCCATCCTGGATGCACCATCAGTCATACCTCATGCAGCCCACGGTGAGCCTCCCTCCCTCCCTCCCTCCCTCCCTCCAAACGGACCCTCTGGAGCCCTTGCCTGGGGAGACATCGCAATAGGCCTCTTAGTTGGGACTTACTGCTTGGGCAGGCAGGATGGCAAACTGGAGAGCCCCTTTGGAACCAAGCGTGCGTGCAGGTTTGAGTTTGCAAATATGGGAAGCACTCCAGGGCAGGTTAAACTTCTCTGGGGAAAGGAAGCAGACTGTACCCCCTCTTCCACCCCTACTCACCACACCCCAAGTGGCACCCAGGCCCTCTGATCAGAGCCATTGAAAGTGAGCGTAGAGAAATCCGCCCCCCTCCTGCAGTGGGGCTGTGGCAGCCACCCTGCTGCCTGTCGTGCACCCCTTCCTGGGGACCCTGCAGGCCTCACCCGGCCTCCTCTCCTGTGCAGTCTGCCTCGTGGGAATGGGGATTATTCCGGACCAGGGCAAGCGGTGGGCATCCTCCCTCCTTCATTGCCTCATCCCCATATTCCTGCCTCTAATGTCACTTCTCTTTCTCACCCAACTTGCCCGCCAAACAGGGGACAGTGCTGACACCAACCATGGACCATGCAATTTCCATCCAGCCCACCTCCATGATGGGGCCCCTAACCCAGCAGCTGGGCCACCTGTCCCTCAGCAGTGCTGGCACAGTAAGCACCTTCTCCACCCCACCCCGGCTTCCCCTTCTCTGTGGGGCTCATGCCCTGCGTGGCGTCTGTGGGCCACTGACACGTCCTCTCCCTCCCTCCCTCCCGCTAGTACATGCCGGCGGCAGCAGCTATGCAAGGAGCCTACATCTCCCAGTACACACCTGTGCCTTCCTCTAGTGTTGCAGTCGAGGTAAGGATCGTTTTCCTGGCTAAGTGGGGAATGGTTGGCCAGCCCTGACGCACAACACGCATGCACACGCATGTGCGCCATGCCCGGGTTGACCTCTGGTCCGCGTGTCAAGGATTGGCCCCCGCTGTGTGAAAAGGCAGCACATGCATTCCGGGGAAACGCACTCAGTGCCAGACCCCTTGGCCGAGACGCTTGCTGTCACTTTTGGGGCCTGCGTGAAATTTTCTTCCTTGGGCTTCAGGGAATAGGATGGGAAGGATCCAGCCGTCTGCTACTCCGGCACTGCTGACATTGTGCTGGTGGAAACCAGCACTTTGACAAAGCCAGGAGGCCCTGCTGGCCCAAGGCGTCCCCTGGGAAACTTGCTGCACTGCAGGCATTACAAGTGCTGGGCAAGGGCTGGTTTCCACTAGTACATCAGCTGGAGAGGTGGCGAGACTGCATTGCTGGATGCTCCTCAGAGCTGGGAAGGTGGCACCTTCCACCAGATCGGCTTGTGTTGCTGAGCTCCTCAGTTCACAGTTTGTTAAGAGGGATCATTTTTTAAGTGCGCAAAGGCCAGACAGCCCAGACGTGGGCCCCATGCTCTGACCTGCTGCCATGCGAGGGGAGGGGAGGGGCTTGGAGGATGGAGCCCCTGCTAGAAATGAGAGGGGAAGCCCCCGGAGACCAGACTGAGCCACTGGGCTGCCACTTCCCTGCCTCTAGAGCAGGGATGCTGCAAACCATGGGCCCTTGAGAGTAGAACTCGTAGCCTTAACAGAGGGGTTTGGGTCCCCTCCTGCGCCAGAGCTCCATCTGAGCCGCTGAGCATGGTGAGGCCGAAAGGCTTGGGGATCGACTGCTTGCCCTCCCAGTTCCCCCAGTGAGTGTTTTGTCACAGGAGAACAGTGGCCAGCAGAGCCACGTGACGGTGGAGTCCCCGTCGGATCACGCTGCCTACTCGTATCAGTACAACAAGTAACAACAGGTAAGGCTGTGTGGGGCACGGGGGTGCCCTGCGTGAGTCCCCTCTCTCCCCACTGGCTCCTGCATGAGTCGTGGCTGTGGCTGCTCCAGAAGGGCTGGAGATGGACAGTGGCACGTGGCTACTGTGCCCGGCTGGACCGCTTAGGCTTTGGCCGTGGGCCCACAGACATGGGAGGGCCTGCCCGGCACTTGTGTGAGGTGGCCTGGATTGATAGGTCGTCTTTCCCCCTTCCAGTGAGGTGGTGCTCAGGTTGGAGGAGCCCTTCAGAGCCTGGCATGGGGCAGATAATGGAAAGAGTCCAGTGGGGCCTGGGCTTTTGCTGTCCCTTCTTCCACATCAGGAGAACTCCCCGGCTGCGGGGTGGGTGGCGCTGGGCAAGAGGGAATCCCATGTGCTGTGGTGGAGTGATGGGGCACTCAGCCCTCACAGCTGCGCACCTCGTCTGCTGTGTTCAGCCATGGCTTGATCTGGCGATGGACAGTTTCACTCCTTGACATCACACCATGGTCCAGGCGAGTGCAGAAAGCATATTTAGAGGATTGTGTTCTCTGGATGGGGGCAAGGGGATGGGATCTGTGTCTGATTTCTTTAAAAGAAGAAGAAAAGAGTTTCCTGGCACCATCCTCAGGGAGAGCCTTCCTCCTGCTGCAATTTAATTTGGAGGATGAAAACAAGAGTCCGGTTGTAACTGTGAGATGGGCAGAGCAATCCTGTGCTCTCCTATGCATCAGGAGGTATGAAATAGGCCGGTGCTTTGCCCATGGAGCAGCGGCTGGACCCTGTGCCTGCATGCTGAGGCAGCCCTGGGACATGGCCTGCAGTCCCCCTGCATTGCTGCATGTGGTCGCCCCCTTGGCACAGCCTGCAACCTGCGCAGTAGAGCCAGTCTTGGGAGGGGTCTGGATCCGCTTGTGTCAAGCACCAGGAGCGAAGGGGATGAAGGGAGCCCGGGCTGGCCGGTGGGCAAATGGTGGCAGCCCAGCAGTGTGGGCACAGGAACCGGCAGCTTTTGCCTCTCCAGACGTTTTGGCCTGCGACTCCCATTAGTTGCAGAGGGCATCACGGCAGTTGTAGGCCAAAAGCTCTGGAGAGTCGCCCCCTCACCCACCCCAGAGCTACAATCTATGGAGAGCTGTGTTGTATGGGCTCAGATGTGCTTCTCGTTATTGGGCGAGATCCCGTCGTGCTTGTTTCTTAGCAGGGCTGCAGTCAGAATGGGGAAGGGCCTGGCCGACAGAGATGGGTCCTGCAAGAGATTTTCTTTTTGCCCAACTTCCGGCAGTGCTGACAGCACCCCGAGTGCCCTGCCCTTGTGCTTGCCACCCAGCCGCGTAATGTCCTCCATTTTCCATCCCCTCTAGTGCCACCGAGCAGCTCAGCTCTGAGCAATCACTTCGAGGGAGACAAGTTTTTTTTATTTGTGCTGCATTTAGAAGATGGAACCATTTTTGTTGTTGTTGCTTTTCTTTCTGCAAAGAAAAAGGTTGTTTTGCTTTGTTTTTTAAAAAAGGAAATAACCGCAATAGACTTTTGACACCGAGGAACCAAAGGAGGTTAGAGTGGGGGTAGAAAAGACATACCCCCGATCCTTAGATGTACAGATGGACTAAGGACTATTTTAATACGAGGAAAACATTTTTGGCGCGTGTGCGTGTGTGTGTGTGTGTTTGCGCGTTTATTTTCTTGTTAACAGCAAAATCAAACGCTTTGGATGCCACAAAATTCCCCAGAGAAGAACAATTATTTTTCTCTTTTGGAAAGGCGGCTTCTGCACCTCTGGGAGGGAATTTTTTTGCTCCTTTGAATTTGTTTTGTTTTTTTCTTTGATCATTTAAAAGAGTTTTTAAAGGACAAATATGCAAAAGTGTTTGAATATTTTTTGTTGTTTTATAAGAAAATGCTCTGAGAAAACCCCACCTCGCAGCTGTAGGATAAAAATCAATGCAGACTTCTTTTTTTCTTCTTCTTCCTTGGGGTGGGTGTGGGGGAGGGAATTTTGCTTTGAAAGGATTATTTTATTATTTCAAGAGGGTATTTTTTTTTCTAAAAAAGACAAATTTACAAAAAACAAAAAAAGGAAATCGACAAAAAAATCTACAAAAAAGGAAATCTACAAAAAAAAGTTGAACTTTTGACGGCAGCAAGAGGGGTTTGTGTAAAACTTGTCAAGTTGGAGGGATGATGTGGCTGGTGGCTTTTGATGAACTGATACTTTTATTTTTTCTTTGGCATAAACTCTGCCCCAGCTGAAAGAGAGAGAGAAACAGAGTTTGCTCCAGACCTCAGTTTCTGCCCTCTGTCCTGTCTAATGGGACCGGTTCTTGCTGAATGCTTTGGACTCTGATTTGAGCTTCTGTGCGGACCCTTCTTTGCTTCCACATGGATTCTCCCCTTGCCTGCCCTGCCCTGGAACGGGGGACAATAAACTGACCGAGGAACCTGCCGCCCGTGATGTGTCATCGCTTCCGGACTCTTGGAGACTGAACGGACACGTTGCCAGCAGCAGCAGCAGCAGCGCTTTGCCCCTGCCCCTTGCTCAGCCCCTGCCCCTGCCCCTGCCCCTGCCCCGGGGGCACACACACACACAGTGCCTTCTGCCGCCCGCGGTCCGGACTGTGCTGCCGTCTGCCCCCTCCAACTCCTGCATGCCCGTCAACCCAGGTGCACAGTGCGTCTGCTCTCTCGGCAAACCAGTCTGGGGGCTGCGCTTGATTCTTCTGACTGGCGGGGATTGGGGGAGGGCTGTCCGAGTCGCTTTAAAAACAAACTAGGGAGCATCTAGCACCTTGCAGGGGATGGCCGAGCTCCCCCCTCCCCCTGAAACGGAGATCCTAGTTACTATGCACGTCCCCCCCCCCCGGCCCTTGGTCGCTGGCTCCCCAGATCCGCAATAGCAGGACACAATGTGCAATAATCGGGCCCTTCCTACCACGCGTTTCCCTGGAGAGCCTCTTGGAGGTACCAAGTGCTTTAGACACCTTTGCATGTTCCCCTGCCCCAACCAGATGGTGCTAAAAGTCGAATCCTCTCTTCCACCATAAAACCACCCCAGCCGGCTGGCATGAAGCTGCCCCCGTCGCCACGTTGTTAGTGTTGCTTCCCTTGCCCCTTCTGCGGGATGCGATCATGCGAAACCTCCTCCCATTTTTTAATGCCCAACCCGTATCTTTGAGGAAATGGCTCTTATGCAGCTGACAATCAGGGAGGACTAACTGCAGAGGCCATACAGGTGTCATGTGAACCAGGGAAAAAGAGTGAGTGTGCGCGCGCGCGTGTGTGTGTGTGTGTGTACTCACGTGTGCATCATGCATGTGCTGGGAATCTGTGGTAGGACAGCCTTTGAATAAGGGACCTCTGCATATCGGGTTTGTGCATTTCTCAGGACGCCCGTCGTCTTGTGCTCGGCGTGGCTGCTCAGTGCCCTCCTGACCACGCGTGTGCTCGGCGTGATCTGCTCCCGACAAGGGGAGCACGAGGCTCTTGGAAGGGAGGGAGGGAAGGAGGGAGGCAGGCAGGCAGGCCTGGCCCATTCTTCCTCATTGTGCTGCAGGGACAGGCTTGTCCCCCTGCCTCCTTGCCTCCCTGGCAGCTGTGCTGCCGATGCCCTTGACTGGAAGGCCTAGTGAGGGGGTGGGCTGGTGCTACCTAGGAGAATGCGGAGAAGCTTTGGCACAATCAGATGGGATCCTGGCCTAGCATCTGCCTATGGCCAGTGTGCCGTTTCTTCACCCTGCCCATGCCTGGAGTCTAGCGGCAGTCAGATCCAGTCAGCCCCCAGTGCTGAGTTAACTCTGAGTGTCTTTTGGGCGACTTTGGGACTCGCCTTCAGTTCTAGCGCCTCTTCTCCCCAGGCTGAATTAGGGAGCCAAACAGGTTTTTGTGATATTGAGTCTGATAACTGGGAGAATTGGGGCAAAGATGAAGATGTGCCACTTGATGGTGCCCGTTTGAGAGGCAAGTGGTGCCAGTCGAAGGGGGCAGTGCCGCGGCACGTGCCACAAAGGTGGGGGCAGAGCGATTTCCCACACTTGCGTTGTCCTCTTGCCACTCAGCTGACAGCTTTCAAATGGATACAGGACATCAGTGCTGCGTTGCTCTTGCCCGGTTTTTCTTACTCTGTGATGGGCTTACAGCCTGCACTGCTATTTATCTGCCTGCTCTGCTGCTCTCTCTTCCCTCTGAAGCCACTAAAGGGGGCATTTAAATGGAGCTCTTCTAGCCCCGGCATGTGCCTTGCACAGCAGGTCCTTAGAGTGGGCTACAAAAGGATTTAGCCTTGATTGCTAGGCTGCTGCAGGCACGCTGGAAACATGGGCAGTAGTGCCTCTTTTTGGCCACGAAGACTTCCTTGCCTGCACCTGAATTTTTTGATCTCCCAGCAGTCACAATACATCACACCATTTCAGAAACAACTCTCAGAGTTTCCCCAGATTGCAGGAGTAGCTGCTTGGGTGTTCTGAGGGAGAACTGCTGCTTGTAGGCAGGGATAGGGAAAGCAGGTGGTGTGTTCTCTGTATATTTGGCACCTGCAGAGGATGTTTTCTTGGTAGGTCCCATTGAAATGAATGGGAGCTGCACTAGAACATCGCTAAGGTCTCCTGCTGCTCCCAGTCATTTTAATGGGACCTCTGCAAGTGATTTTTCATGTCAGCTGTGCTCTATGACTGATTGTTCAAAATCCTCAGGCATTATAATTAAGGCAATTGGTAGTAACTACTGATCAATGAAATCCATTATTTGTGTGTGCGTGGGGGGGGGGGAATCTGGATATTGATTGGGAAAAATAACAGTGCATCAGGGCCCCTTTGAAAGGCTTACTCTGTCCCGTCCCCCCCAAAGTAGAACCACATTAAAATTGGGATGCTTGTGCTCCTGACAGTCTCCTGGTTTTTAAAATTAGAATTTATTATTGGAATCACCTGCTCTCCCATTTTATCTGAAAATAGGCTTTTATACATAACCTCTAATAAAGATTTCTGAGTTGGAACTATAGTAGGTATAGAAACATTTGATGTTGATGGCCAAGGATCAGCAATACCGATTCACATTTATGTTGACCTGGTATCTACCTGAATGAGCCTGCCCCATGAGTCCCTCCCTTCACTGACTCCCCACCCCAATCCTGGCCCTTACCCAAGTGCTTGTGGCCACGGCCATGTTGAACTGTGGTTAGCACTAGCTAGGATAAGTTACTTTAAATCTGGTTCAAAGTCTGGCAATAATATAAAGCTGTGGTTTAGCTTCACAGATTGAGTCCTCTCTCAGGAAGGCCTCTGTAATAAACCTCCAGGAGGCTCTGCTGATTATCTTGTAAACCAGCTGTGAAAGAAGCACTCTAGTCAGCATTTTCTTTGTGCAGATGCGGTCAACACAAGCACTACTTTGTAAGCTCATTTCAACTGCAATTTCACATCCTAGCCAGTAAGGCGGCATGCACCACCCCTCATGCAAGGGGTGAGACCAGGTGGGAAGCCATAGTTAACCATGGTTCTTCCTCATGTCCAATCTGGGAACCATGGGTCATGGCTTCCCAAGGACAAGGCCTCTGGATCCTAGGTGCTTGGGAGCCTTTGCCATAGTTGCATGTTTGCCTGTAGCAGGAGCCTGCAGTTAGCAGCTTCCTGGCTTGCTCTGGATTTGCACAAAGGCAGGCACTCCAGGTGTATGAATAGCCCAACTGATTCAGTGAGGAGTGTCCAAACGACCCAGGTCTGCATCATCCATTTTCCAAGTTAGTTCAGTTTATGCATTGATCCTGTTGTGGCTCATCTGTACACTGTGGAGGATAACAGATGCAATGAAATAAACTCAGGGCACAATTGAGCAAGACTTGGTTGTGACTAAAGGTGCAATTCCCCGTCCGTTTACTGGGGCATGAATCAGACAGGTGCGTCTAAGCAGGTATGCATAGGCTTGCCTTTAAGAACACAGTGCACTCTGATAATAAGATCCACCCAGGGAAATTCATTTCGGGCATGAGACCTAGGAAACTGGTTGCAGATGTGCCTTCAGGTGTTTCTCCTCCATCTGCATGCATGCCCTTTCAGTGTGCCTGCATATGTGTGGGTGCATCTCGCACCACCCCTTTGCTGAGTGTGGCCAGTTGCCTACGGCGAGAGTGGGATTCGAGGCAGGGGCTTGGCGGTACCTTGCATATAGAGCCTGTTGCGGTCGTTTCGAAGCACCCTCCATCACAACGCTCCGTCTTCCTCTCGGGCCAGAACCAAGCCTTTAGGCTGCTCGGCAGGGTTGTGGAGAAGGCTCCTGCCTCCCGTGCGCTGCTTTAACAAATTGGGACACTTTGCAGGGCTTGAGCTGAAGTTTCAGAGGAGGGCACGTTGTGCTTTGGAACATGGTGGGAGGCTCTCTGCATGGGTGAGGCTCCTCATCGCTCACGATCCCGAAAGACTTGCATGTGTCATGATGCCGGCCCTTCACATGGCAGGCCCAGGAATGCAAGCTGTGGGCAGAAAAATCTATCTGCGTTCTTGTGAATGCGGTTGAACAGGGCAGAGTCCACCGCTCAGAGCTAGGCAGGTAACTCCCAGCAGTGTGGCAACACCCTCGTCAGCCTGTGTGTCACTCCCACGTGGATCCCCTTGTGTGAGCGTGAGTGCAGAGCACAGAGGATGCAGCACATAGCAGCCTGGCTAAGATGTTGCTCCAGTTTCCTGGATCAAGGCAGAGGGCGTGGGAGAGGCCCGTGCCTTCTTCCCACTCCCGTGGTTTCCTTTTCTCCCAGCTAACTGCCCAGTGAGCCTGCTGCATGCGCTCCCCCAGCAGGGAGCCCATGGACTCCACGGCCCCCTTCTAGACGCATGCACTGTGCCTGCTTGCCAGGCACTCCTGCTCTGCTCAGGACTAGGGTGGCATTTGCCAGAGCCAGGGGGAAGGTGGGTGTTATTTTGCAGGAGGGTGTAAGGCTGCCAGCCATGGGGGTGGGGGAGAGAGCTGTATGGGCACAGCTGACTCCAGGGGTAGGAACAGGGCAGGAGTAGGTCACCCTTTCGCTTTCATTCTGAATCCCCTCCTCCTCCTGTTTCCCAAAAATGTAAAATCGTGTGTCTTGGGCATAATGGGGCCACGCAGCAAATCAAGCAACAGCAGCAAAGCCAGATCTGTGCGTTTGCTACAGGAGAAGGTAGAATTTAAGCTGCCAGATGCCCTTGCTTAGCAAGGCCAACTCCTTGCAGAAGGGAAGCAAGGAAAGGTTCAGCAGTGGAAAGGAAGCAAGAGGGAGCAGGGAGCAGGGGTCCGAGGTGATCACGGCGGAAGGAATGCAGAGGGTGGGGCAGAGGGCAAAGATGAGCGTGTGGCTAGTGACCGGGTGGGGGTACATTCGGAACAGTAACAGCCTTAGGAATGTTGGAACTTGTGAAGCTGGATGCTGGGCCTGGGTGTGTGAGAATGTGCGACTGAGAGAGAAACGGGTGTATGTGCACAGACACAAAAGATTGTGTAGCATACAGACTATGTACTTTGCCACTGCAACGCTTCCTTAGTCCAAAGCCCTGTTCTCATGCCTGACTCTCCCCACAGCGTCCCCTACAGCACCTCCTCGCTTTTTTCCAGCCAAGGGACACACCCACAACAGCGAACTCGGACATGTGGTTTTGGGCAGTTCATTCCCCTTTCACTGCATCCTTCCAATTCTGAAAGGAAGCGTGGTAGTAAGGAAAAATGTTAAGGTCCCCATCCTAACCTCTCTGTGATGGCACCTTGGCTTCGTAGGTGAACCGGCTCTCCCTGGTGGGAGACTGGAGGCATGGCCAGAGCTTTCCACCACCGTGAAACAGGGTGGGAGGGTCCCATTTACGCGATATTGTGGGAGTCGCTGCTGGGCAACTGTCGGCTGCTTCAACGGTGCTTTGGACGCCTGCATGCCTAGTGTGGGGACCGAACACAATACGCTGGGACTAGGAGCATGCGCCCCTTGAGCTGCTAGAGTTTTAATCTTGTGCCTTGATTTCCTCTTTCTCATTCTGCCCACGGGGGGAACCAGTCCCTGCACTTTAAACTTCCAGTCTAGTTGGCGCCTTCCCCTGTCCAGCCCCCCACCCCGTCCCTCCCATTTGCAGCTAAAGGATGCTACCGCCTTGCCCTGATTGATGCCGTCAGGGCCCCGGCACTCTGCCCCGGCCCCCCTCCTGTGCACAAAACCATCCTCCTCTCCTGCAACATGCATTCCCTGTCCAGCCAGCCACCATGCTGGAAGAGGAAGCACAGCTGCCTCCCAGACCCGGCAGACTGTCGAGATGAAACCTCCAATGTGTAGTTCCACTTAAATGCTGGTGTTTTTAAAAGCAAGCTCCACCACCCAAAACTCTTCGCCTGCCAGCTCCATGCTTGCATTGAAACCCGTCCTGCTTGGAAATTGATGGTGCTATTTGGGAAGACAGACAGACCCCGGTTCAGAACTTCTCTTCATTGTTACGCTCACCAGTTCCCGTTTTTTGTCATTCTTCGCTACGCATCTACCTCACATGCACTCGCAGTTCATTTGTACGTCCTGAACCGGCCAACGGCACCTTCACCAAGGGACAAGCTCCCCGCCTCATCTTTAGAAAGCCCTCTGGGCTCCTCTGCTTTGTTTGAAGGGGAGAGAGAAGGGAAATGTTTGTTTTCAACAAACAAAGGATTCACCCCGTTGCTGCTAATTCTGAAGAGTTTTGTTAAATGTACCACATTTTGCTTTTTTAAAAAATTTCCTTTGTAAAATGTGTTGGTTGGTTTATTTAAAGTTGAAGAGAGATGTTTTGTCCAAAGGGAAGGAAAAGTTACGTGGCCTCAACATGGGACCCTGAGCATGGCACGAATGGCCAAAAGATAAAATGACTTTTTTCTCCCCGCTCCCCCACTTGCTTTTGCATAGACCTCGTGCTCCAAAGCCTTTTGTGGCTGCACTGCTTGCACTGGAGAAAAGGTTGCCAGCTAGAAGGGAAGTCTAGGGTTGCTGCTGTCTGCCATCCCTGGTCTTTCGAGCCAGTGATGGTGGCCACAGCTTCTCTTTCTTATTCTTGAAAGAAAGAGCTTGCCAAAGCAAGACACTGTCTCCAGTTTGACCTCCTTGGGAATGCTTGCGTTCTCCAGGCACACCCTCGGCAACTCAGCTTTGCAGAGCAGGCTTCCATGAATAGGGGCAGGTGTCAGCGGTGATTCTTCCCTTGAGAGCTTTAGCTAAATACGGACTTCAGGAACAGGAAGGAAATCATTGGCCCCGCTTATGCAGCTTTGTCTGAACTGCAAATGCAACAACCAAACTGAACCTTAAGCAGCCTGCTAGCAAAGATGGCAGCGGGAATGTACTTTTGCTGAAGGTTGGCAGAGTTTCGCCAGACAGACTGAGCTTATGAGTCTACATAATTGTGGTGGGAAATGCTTTTGATGCCACTGCACTATCAAAACTTGAAGTATCTAGAACTGGCTCATAATATTGCATAGGAAGCTGGATGGACCCCTGGTCTGACTTAAGATGGCTGTTCTATACTGCACAAAGGCGGTTGCACATTCTGGGCACATGCACCCACTCAAAACCAGATGAAGGGTTGCAGGTAGCCATCCTTGTAATCTGGAAAGCCTCTTCTACACAGAAGAAATTGTGCTCCTGCCAAATGATTTCCTCAGCTCAAACGCCAACATGTGGCGCAACACCATATATTTTGGCAATGGGCCGAAGCAATTTCAGCCAGGCTAGCTAGCAGCCAGGTCATACTCCAAACCCATCCTCTCCCCATGGGGAATGCAGTTCCAAGTGCTGTGGTCTTCCGCTTCCATGTTTTGGCCACTGGCTTTGTCTTCCAGCAACTGTGCCAGCAGAGCCACTGGCAACACTTCCTAGGGAGGGTGGGGAGAAAGGAAAGTCAACAGTGTCTTCCAAAATGCCCAGCTTGCTATTCATGGAGCTGAAAATTTGTAGTATCAGCATCTCAGTGGTCAAAAACCGACGGAATAATTGCAGCCTCATCAACTACTTGGGCTGTTTCTGATTACAGAATAAGATATTTTCATGGTTGTTGATTGCTTGGTGTTCCTCCTTCTCTGTCTTCCCATCTTTGACAGGAAGAGACAGCGTGGATTCTGCTTAAGCCAAGATTCACTAGTTCAAGTGATGGTCCAACCTCTCCCACTGTGGAAAAGTTCACTTGGCCACACTTTCCTCTGGAGCAATATGCCCTTTCTTGGTAGTTGTCATGGTTGCACTGATGCCTTGCCCTACAGCAAATTGCCATTAAAGTAGATAGCAATAGGCATCCGCCCTACGCCACACACGGCTCATGCTGGTTCACGTCCACAGCAAACTCTAGGCGAGCTGATGTGCTTCAACACACTTTGTAGTCCCTCCATAATATTGGAACGTGGTTGCAAAATGTTTTGCTTTGAAAACAGCGTGTCTGCCATGGATGTAAATGCGTCTTTTTGTAAGCATATGGGGCACTCGGAGCAGCAGAGGTGGAGCGCACTAGCTTGTGATTCTGAACCGCTATTTGGAAGCTACTGGAGCGCTCAAAGGCAAGTGTTTGGTGCCTCCATTTGCTGCTGACGTGGCGAGAATGCTTGCTCCTCAGCCCGCTTCATGTCTCAATTCATTTTACCTGCCAGTTTTATTTATATACTTAGGACTATTTGTACAGTTTTTTTTTAAATGAGAAGTTTCTATAGTTTTGTATCTTCCATGCTACAGCCAGACCTGTTTTTCTCTCTCTCAAGCCCATACACCTTCCCCTCTGTGGAGCCCTGACTGGTCTCATTTTGAACAAATTTTTGTTTCGAAATAAAAGGTGAAAAATAATGTTTGGTTTGACTGTTTCTTGGGCAGAATTGAGACTGGACTTGGCATGTGATTGTTACCAAGAAGTTTCAGTGGGAGGTCAGTTATTCTCACAATCACTTAACATAGGTTTGTTATCCAGTGTCCTTTATAATGAAAATCAAGCTTGCAAACATGATACGCAAGTATGGAATCCTGTCTATGTCAAGAGATTAGCAAAGAGATGAAAAGTGGGAGAAATTTTGCAGTGTAAGATGAGGAGATCACCAATTCTAGTATGCAACTGCACAATTCTGTGAATTAACTTGATTTCGGACGCCAGCCTAAAGAAATCCATGATCTTATAAGCTGATACGATAAAATGGACTCTGTTGCCAATCAGCTGATAGCAGGGTCTTAAAGTGGCCTGGATTCTGAAATATCAGGTGCAGATGCTGTCTACCTTTCAACTTCTGCTGCCTCTGTTCACAAGGCACAAGCTGTGGCAATCTGGAAACCCAGAATAATGCAACAGCCCCTATAGGTAATTAAGCCATGATGGATGGACATGTATGAACCTAGTAGGTTCAGGACAAAGGGGATTACTCTACCAAGTACAAAATTAATTAGAGAGAGAGAGAGAGAGAGAGTGTTTTGGGGGGAGAGGATAGACAAATTTATGGAGAACCAGTCTATTAGCAGTTAACATGCATGAAAAGTAACCAGAACCTCCCTGTGATGTTACTAAATGCTATCAGCTAGAGGGGAGGTCAGCAGGGAAACTACCTGCTTCAGGCCCAGCTAGGATGTTTCCAGAAGGCCATCTTGGGATCATCCCCTTGTCATCCAGCAGGGCTCTTGCCATGTATTAAAACGGGCTGGAAAAATTATGGCTAACTAGCGTCACACAATCCAGAGATGTAAGGAGTGAGTTTCAGTGGTTGGGGGGGGGGGGGAACATTTTTTTCCCATGTCCTGCCCTTTCCCTATGACAAACAGAAGCAGGAATACTGAAATAAAAACAGATACCAATTTGCCTAGCTCCGTAGGTTGTGTGTGTTCCATCATTTGTTCAAAAACTACTGTACCATACAGTGCTGGGTCGTGTTATAGCCTGTACTATTTGCAAGCAATAAAATGGGCCACAAGGAAAGGCAAACTTAAGCTTCTTCCAAATCTCTCTCAAGTGAATGTTGATGAGGAGACTATTGTTTTGGTAGAAATTAAACACTTTACCTGTAGGGAAATGTCCAGAAGCAACTGAGTGAGCGACAGAGTAGTCCTACCCTACTTTGTAGGAGTTGCTACCTTTGGGTTTCACTGCAGTGTGGTTTCTTTTAGGAAGAATTAAGAAGCCTGTCAGGATATTCATTAGTGTGCTGTTTTAAAATATGAAGCAATTAGCATATGCAAATAAAAGCAGCTTTATTCTTTAAACTGTGCACTGAGGGCTAATCTACAAGTTCAGAAATGGTTGTAAAGGAGGCAGCACTTCATGAATTTTCTCCTGGAAAAAAAAATCGCAAGACCAAATGTTCTTGTAAAACGGCCCCATGGGAGCCCTCTCAGTCATTAACACATCCTGAAAAAAAGGATATTAAACCTGGCACCTTAACCAGATGGGGTATTGCTACCCAATTACAAGAGCAGAATCTGTTGAAGTGATGGTTAAAGATGCAGCTTGCTACCTCATAGGCTCTTTCCTATGAATTCCTACTTGACATGGTTACTGCCATTTCTGCTTTTGCATCTGAAAAATAAAGCAGTTCATATAATTGCTGTGCTGCCTACTGACCATGGAGACCCCAGAATTTGGGACATTAGGTGTGCCCCAAATACGGTCTCATATGGTTGCTGCATAGCAGGGGCACTCACCTTCTGGCCTTCTGTGTGATAACTATTCAGAAGTAGTTTCTGCATATCTCTATTTTTCTCCTCCAAACACCAGCACGTATCCCATCAGCCTTGGCTGCTAAAGATCAATCCCAGGCTGCACTGCTCCTACCTGCCTCTCCCCCACTGTCCACAAACTCCCCTGGATATGTTCACAGCTAGGCACCACTTTCTTCCCTGCTGCTTTCTGGAGCCCCCTCTCCTCACTCTCTCGAGGCACATGGAGCCAATCTTCCCCTACCCCAAATGTGCCGAATTTGCACAGGCTGCTGGGCTGCCTTCCCCTGGGAGCCTGGCAGATAGAGGGCAGCAATTCAGGCACTGATGCCATGAGTGGAGGGAGTGTGCACTGCTGCACACCTTCTCATGTGGGAATCTGCCTGAGAAAGTGTTGCCACGAGACCCGAGAACTGCAATTGTCCCAAAGTGGAGCGGGGGGGGGGGGATCATGGGGCAAGGGCCTATGCACATGTGGCACACTCATTTGAAGGGCAGCTTTCTCAAGCAGCCTGCTCACTGGCAGCACTTACCTCATCGGAGGCACTGATCTAGTCCCATGCGGTGCTCTCCCGCCGTCACTGCTGGTGGAGGTGCTCCCGTTCTTCCCTGCCAGGGCATGCCTCCCCAACACCCAGCCACCATGCCACTGCTGCAGCCAGCACAGTGGGGCATTGCAGTGACGGTCAGGCAACTGGGCACCAGAGAGGCAGGTGCCAGCAGGGAAGAAAGGGCGCACAAAGACAGTCCATTGGAGCCCTGTTGTATTTAGTGGTAATTTATTATGTTCTATTGTATTTCAATGTATCTTATTGTGTTGTAAGCCGCCCCGAGGCTTCGGCAAGGGGCGGCATAGAAATGTTATAATAATAATAATAAAAAAAATAATAACTCGGCCGTTAGGCTAGTAAAAAAGAGAGACTGGCGTGTGCGCTATCACGGCGGCCACTCCGCCACCAAACTCACTGCTGGAAACCACAGAAAACTGGATTCACATGTAACAACTAACAATGGAGATGTATGAGAACCTTACAACATACCATTGGTTCTCCGTGAGGATTCATGGAAACTAGATGTGCCTTGCTTCACCACCAATGCTGAATTCACACATAACCAGCCATATTTGCACCATTTCCAGCACGACTTGTCATGTGTGAACAAACCTATTGTAAGGATTGTGTTCACTCTGTACAGTAAACAAAATGTGGAATTCAAGATATGGTGGATCCTTTTGAATTCTCAGAGTTGCTGGTTTCATTTGTTTTCTTTCTTCAGTGCAAGTTTTAACTATGAATATGATGGTCCGATGAAATCAAAGTGGCTCAAAAGCAGCTTGAGAGCATTTGCAACTTGAGTGGTCTGTACAGTTAATTCTCCCTCCCTCATAGCATACTTCACCTCCATACCCTTCCCTGATCCTTTACACTGCAACCATGCAACATCAGCAAGGTTAATATTTATATTAATTCGTGTCAGTCACTGAAGGTTTAACTTTGAGATAAAGTCAGGCAAGTTTCAGGTAGGTTTGGATGCTGCTTTGCACAAAGCAATTTGTTTAACACAACATGGGCTTTTTGGAGGCTTTTTAAAAACTTCCAGTAGGCAAAGGGAGCTTTTCAAAGATGATGTGAGGCACACGCCTTCCCTAATACTGTCTCATCACGGGCAAAATTGTGCACCCCAAAGCATCACTCCTTGCAAGCTTGGACACAACATGTCTGCCACCCCTCATTCAGGAATTTTTTCCTCTGCTGCTGCTGAAGAAAAGCAGGCTGATCTAGCCCAGCTTTCACCACCCTGGTGTATGTTAGACAATAGTTCCAAGTGTACCTTGTCTAACCCGCCTGGAGGGCAGCAGGTTGGAGAAGGGTGACCAAGTCTTTCTCACTCTGATGCTAGATGAAAAAGCAAGCAAGTGGTTCAGGCTGGCCTGGAGGATTCCAGCTGCAGAAATTGGGTTTCTTCTGAGCAGAAGGGGCACAGCTCTGGTGTGAACTTGATACATTCCCAAGAGAGAAGATCAGGCTGGGATGAGAGCAGTGTCTTCTCTAGAAATCAACAACAGTCAAAAGTCTATCCCAAGCATTTCAGCACCATGAAACATTCAATGAATTGCCCTGTGTGAATCATGCTATTTGGCCATTCTGCTTATGGCACTAGAGCACTGGACACCTCCAGCCACCTCAGGAATTGGGATTTCACCGTATATCGACCATAAACGCACTTGCCAAGCTTTTATGTCATCATTAAGAACTAGAAACCTCTCTTTCCTTTTTTATGAAAGCTTATAGATTCTCAGGTTGCTGCTTTCTGGTGATGGTTGAAACACAAAAGCTGGCTAATATTTTTATCAGCACTGGGGCATGTTGCCAAAGAATAAGGTTCCAATGAGAAAAGACAACATCTTCAAGCACATTCTTCTCTATCAAACGTGGATTGGTTTTTGTTTATTCTTTGAAACTTGACAAGCACTCTAACATCTGTACTTGTGGAAACATCACAAGGAAACAAACAGGAATTCTAGACTTTTTTTCTTCCTTTTAAACCTTATTAAAAATGAGGTTGGTCCTAAAAATATAGAAAGAAATCAATTTAAATTCACAAAAAACTGTACATTATCAAAAATTCACTAAAACAAACACATTTGGTTATTCATATAAAAAGTTTGATCCCCTCCCCTTCATGCTGTTCAGAGCATCTCACAGGATGATGGGTTGGTTGGTTCCTTTCTGATATCAAATCAAGATGAAAGGGAAGAAAAAGCCATTGGTTAAATAATAAGGCCAATTCTAGTTATGATTCTCAAATTTAGTTTAAAAATCCATTTAACTTTTGAAAACAACAAGGTATTTTATAAACTGACTGATAGACCAAATCCCCTAATGAAGATCAATATTAGGACAAACCTGGATTCATTCTTTTAAGGTGTGAGGGTTTGAATCTAAAAAGTCAACATTTCTATAGCAAAACAAAACAAAAACCCAACAATTAACACTTCCAAAATCTAGAGCTTTCTCATGACTGAGAAAAAAAACCCCAACAGATCAGAAAAACATTACTTAAAAAAAAAACCCAAAGAAGTTGTTACAGCACAAGTTTAGATAAAATATAAATATTTATGCATAATATAAAGTCAGTTTCAAATAGACTTCAATCTATCTCTTTATTTTAAAAGCAAAAAAAATAATAATCCCCAAATTTAAAATAAAATAAAGTTTGAGGTTATTTGATAGAAAAAGGCTACGTTTGTTGAAAACCATGGCGGGGAGGTGGGAGGGAGGAAGGAGTGAGTTAGGGGTGGAGGAAGCACAGTAAGGGAGGTTTCAGTCTCCAGGCTACATCACCTGTGGTTATGTTTTACTTACATCAGTGCTCTTGCAATTGGATTGGTTGACGCGGCTGGGGGAAGCACGCACGCACGCAACCCTCAGTCAGGTTTAGCACAGGTAGGATATCAGGGAGGAAAGCCATTTCCTGATGGGACCCTGCCAGCCGTTTTTCTGCCCCTAAGTGATACCCGTAATTACAATGGTTTGAGGAGCTAGGCTGGATATGGAAAGCAGCAAGGGAGTTAAGGTTCCAGGGGTGGCTTTTTACCCCTCTGATCCACCTGAAGTGGCGGAAGAAAAGTGAAAGTACCAGGCTGTTTCTCCAGTTAGTCCCAGTCGTGCCGGCCTGAGGAATACTGGGCCAGCATTCTGGAAGAGAGACTGGAGAAAGCGAGCAACAGCAGTGCCCTTGTTCCAGTGCAGCAGGCAGCTGAGGCGGTCTAGGATAAGAGGGGCCTCGAAGTCCATGGTCCCAAACATAGTTGAGCTCAAGCAATCGCTTCCCTAGACGGCAGCCCCCTAGCAGCCACTGTGTGAGGCACTCCTGAACCACGGAAGTACTTAGATATGGCCTGCCAGGAGGCACCCATGTACCATGAGGGGGTGACTGGTAGGGAGATATTGCATTGTGAACAGTAAAGATGGCCACTGGCTCCCCTGGGGACTCTTCTTTTCAGGCCTAGTTTTTGGTTTTTTTGTCTGTTTTCAGAAAGCCTTTGCTGGGACCCCTACCCTTCCCGTGTGTCATTCAATTACAGAGAAATGGAGCGAGTGATGGGACAGCAGATTGTCTGGCTTCTATGACAACTGTCTGAACCTGCGAAGTGCAGGTGCAAATGCCTGTGGATGCACGATGGGAGAAGAGTTGTCCTCCAACTCACTTAACTTGGCCACGGCCCACCAGGACAGCACCTGCACAGGCCAGAGGATGAAAGGTCTGCACGTGTCCCGGTCATCCTGCGGAGCGTGGGCAGGCGAGGTCCCAGTGGCTTGCGCCTGCTGTTCAATCACTCCCTAAAGCTAGAAACCCATGGCTTGTCTGAGCAGAGGCTGCAGCAGGGCTCTTTAAACACAAGTTCACAACTTGGGTGCCCTGGCACGACTTAGTTGCAGCAAATACCCTTGCCTAAGTGTGAAAATCAGTAAGGATAAGACCAATTATGATTAGGCTTCCCCATCTGAAAAAACCTGAAATTGCATTCCAAGAGGGAAGAGAAGAAAGGCTAAGATATTATGAGCATTCACATGGGATCTGTATGTGTGCATAATCTGGGGATTAAACACTACTTAGAAAATGTGGAGAAAAGCTAAAGGAAACAAATACCTACGAGCAGCTCCAGCTCTTTAGAGTGAGAACCATTCTGGGCATTACGCAAAAGGGGACCATTTAGTCTCGTTTCCTCTTGTCATACTTCCAGTATAACTATGCGAAGCGGGAACTTGCACATCCTGTCTGCAGGGATATGCATCTCCTCACACGTTGCTACTTTGCCTCCACTTGCAATGCCATGTCCAAAGTTGTGCCTCGACTGAGTCCCAGTTATGGTAACTGGAGGAAGCTGCAGTTTACATGCGGCCAGTAAGACACTGTCAGGAAACAGGCACACGCCACCAAGGAGAATGACAGTGACCTTTCTCCATCACCTTGTGCTTCGCTGAATCTGAGGTTCTGACAACCATCTAATCAGGCCATTTCCGGGGTCAAGGAACTGCACTGGGGGCTGCGCTTCACCCCTGCTGCAGCGGTGAAAGTTGCACCTGTTTAAGAAGGAAAAGGGCGTGTGCTCTGTGCACACCTTTTTTCCTGGCTAAATTGATGCAATTCTTGCCACAGCTTTGGGAAATCGGCGGCGGCAGTGTGGGACACCGTGGGGGCTGCCAGAACGGAAGGCCAGTGATGCGCTAGTCACCTGTGCATGAAAGGATGGAAGGGCTGCTCTTCTTCCTTTCTCATGGGATTAAGCTGATATTTCTCTCGGCGAGGACGTACCTATGATAAACTGGGAGTCATGTTCCAAGGCAGGAAACAACCCTGCCAGCCACACATACACACTGGGTGCAGATCAAGCTGTGCAGACAGTAGCCATCCCTGAGGAATAACACTGGGGCCGAGTTCGGGGAAGGTGGGGGGACACTCAGTAAGGCCAGAGTTCTGTTACAGGATTCCCTGTGGAGCTGGGAGCAGGCTTCAAAAAACACGGTCCCTCCTCCCAAGACACACGTTCCCTCGTGCCCACGCCTGCAAGCTCCTATAGCCTCACAGGAGTCCCTTGCAGCCTCATGATACATTCCAGCATGTTACTTGCAATCAGAGGGAACATGAGCTGCATTCTCACAGAAGTATGCTTAGGGGTGCCACAATGGATTCAAGAGCTGCCCCTGCTGAAGCTGGGATGGGGAGGGGAGGGGAGGGGATAGTGAGAAAGCGTTACCTGCGGTTTGCATGCCTAGAGAAAAGTATGATCTAGCTGATATAGCCTGCCTGGTGAACACTTGTTCCGGATTATTCCCATTTTGTTCAACTCCCTTAGAAACAAAATCTGGAATAAACCAACTCTGAGCAGGTGTGCGCAAATGGGATGTTGATCTAGGTTAACCAAACCTGGGGACTGAAGAAGCCCCTTTCACACAAAGGGCTTGAGTTAAGATCACCTCTCAAATGAAGTCGCACATCTCGGTTGAACACAGGATATGAGGCTGGAAAGGGTAAGATCCTTGAGAGGGGGCACACCTTGTACCCACATGGACATAGTCCTGCAACATCCCACTCCATCCCTAAATGCACGTCAACTTTTAGCCATACTCTTGGTTGCAGAAAGGAAATTAAGAACTTGGAGAAAGGAATTGGCCACAGCTACAGTGACTGTTCAGAAGAGGTAAAGCAGGGCTGAGGGGGACAGGACTGGGAGGGCCAGTGGGGTGGGGAGAATAGAAGCAGCATGTTTCAGTGTCATCAAGGTCGTCATTCCCAGAGGCAGGAGCGATCTGCTTTTATACATTTCAACGCGACTCTAAAAAGGAGGAAAACTTAACGTCCACGTTACTGGCCATTAATGCATGGTACTGACACTGCACAGAAAAAAGTGTTCTTACACATTCACTAAGAACTATTGCTATTATTAAATAGCCCCAGCTAAGGTGGGGTTGTGGGTGGTTGTTTTTCCATCTGAAAAAAGGAATTTTTTTATTTGGCTTACACAGTCAGAGAGCTTGTGTTGCTTGGAGCAAAGAGGTGAGGAAAGGGCTTCTGAGGATCCAGGCGGTAAGTAAGGCCGCCCCCAATCTTAAATGCCAATCCAAGTCCATTGTGAGGGGAAAATTAATCAGCAGGTAGCAAGATGAGCTCCAGAAGAGACAGTGTGCAGCACAGGGTGAAAGGGGAGGGCTTCCCCTTTGGCTCCTCTCACCTTTCCCCATTCTGCCAGCTTCATGGGTTTGTCTCATGTTTTCCCTGATAAAATTCCTCCCACCGGCTCTCAAAAAACTGGCGCATAGCCAGTCCTGCCTTCCCCACCTCTGATTCATCCTCATTAAAGGTCCGGCAGTTGTCAAACACCAGGGCAGCATCAGCAGCGAACTCTTCACAACTTGTGTACCTATGGAAATGTGAGAGCAGAGGTTAATCTCTAGGCTAAGAAGCCCACCACTCCAAGTGGAAACCACTTGAGCTCAATAGCAAGACCAACACACCACTCTTGCCTAGCTTCAACCCCCACTGTTGAATCCATCCCTAATTACTATGACTCTTCCAAGCACAATCTTCCTCCATTTATTTCTTCCCACTGGTTATAAAGCAAGGACAGATTATTAGTGTAAATTTCATCAATGACAGGCCTTGGCATAATCTGCAGGTGGGGTCTCTGAATTCTAGCTATTTCTGAGCCAGGTTGAGGCAGATGCACTCTTGGGAACCTCAACTCCCCCCCCCCCCCACATACCATTGCCCTTGCTTGGACAGCTGTTACTTGTGGAAGTAATTAGAAAAGGAGAAGGTGCTAAGGATAAGCAGCTTGTAGCAGGTTGAGTCTGATCACTAACTGCAGCAGAGCTGACAAGCAAGGAAAACATGATCCTTCCTACCAATCAGAAATAAGCATCTTCAGTTGTAAATCTGCTTTCACACAGTTAAAGAGCAGAGTAAGAGATGCTGCCTCCCATTCCCACTGCATGGGGTCTTCTAATCAGTCCAAAGCTTTTTTCTTCTTATCTCACTCTCTCCAAGCACAGAGAGAGTAACAACATGAAGAGGTTTTTTTTTAAAAAAAACCTAATTAGGAATATGCAAAGTGGGTAAACACAACAACCAAGAGTCTTCTGGCACCTTAAATGTCAACACATTTACTATGGTATCATGTTTCATGAATTAGGAATCCACTTCATCAGATGATGACATGTTATCCTACATTGACAAATTACAGATCAGGCTGGACAACTTGGGAAGGTCTTCTCACCCCTTCCTGTGATCTTCCCACACCACTGCAAGGCAACCTGACAATAATAATTGGATGAAAAAATGCCATCTAGGACAGTTGGTAAGGCTCTGGATATAACTTTTTCATTAAACATTTCTGTTTAGTTTCTTGAGGGGATGAACCCAGCAGAGGCCAGAGGCTTCGTGTGCACTGCTGTCCCTGTTACAGGGGTTCAGGTGGTTGAGGCAGGGGGAGGGGGATCGCAACAAGGGAGGCTGAAAGGAGTTGAACATGCAGACAATGGGAATTATGCCAGGTCTTCAACGGGGGTTCACCTCTCTGCTTAATTGTAACTATGCCTATAGACACCAATCAGCTTAGGATAAGGCTTCATTCATCTGAGAAAGTGACCCTACGCCATAAAATGTTCTATCAGAATACATTTATTAGCGTTTAAGGTGCCACAAAACATGTCATTATCTTTGCCGCAACGAGGTAACAATAGCTACCAGAGAAATAAAAGTTACATTTGCACTACTGGACAGACTTGTATGCTTTTTTAATGTCAAGTTTGAACTAAAATTGCTTAGGATAGCCAAAAGCATACCTAGTCACCCTATTATGAGTTCCAGCAGTTCGTTGTAAGCATTGCCCCGTCATAGCTCTCAGCCACCTTAAGACAGACTTCACCATCCTTTCATTCTCACCACAGCTTCAACCCTTTCCAGGATGCCCCTTTGGGAAACTTACGCTCAGTAATTTGGCAAGAGGTTGCCGACCTACTGGCTGGAATGTGGCATGCTAACACAACACAGTGTGTGCTACCGACAACCATACAAGCTACCCCATTCATAGTATATATTATTTCCCAACCAGGGCCAGTCCCTACAATTAGACAGAGTGAGGCAGGAGCCACAGATTTTGCATGATGAAAGAGTCAGTTCTTGCAATTGCTATCCTGCTTGGGGGTCCTATTTTTCAAAATGCCTTGAGCTGCCCCTGCGACCAACAAGCTGCTCCTTGCACTCACCCGCCACGCAGCAGCCGTGCCCTCATGGTGGCAAAGTCCATCGGGTTCTTGATGATTTTCCGGTAGCCAGGCACGAGCCGGGGGTTAACTGGTTCCAAGAAGGGCCAAGCAGCTTCATGTGATTCCATCTCCATCAAGATGATCCTGAGAAAACGGGGCGAAAACGGAGGAGGCTAGTATAGTGGAAGTGGTCAAAGTGAAAGGCTCTCCTAAGGTGCTGGCTTGAGGGACAAGATCAGAAACCAGCAAACTAAAACTTAATCTCTCCCTCACTTGAAATAATTCTAGTAATACCCATTTCCACCTAATAATTGCAATGTGCATGCGGTGCAACCCCATTCCCAAGGTTTTCCCCGCCTTCAGCATGCTGCATACAATTCTCCCCAGCCCCTGCCTTTGAGAGCCCCTTACTCGCAGAAGGTGAGGTCAGCGTTCTGGCCTCGTGTAGACACTCTTCTTCGCTTGGAGGGAGAGAGGCCTTCCCCAGAGTATCGGGGTGGTACAGTTGTCAGGTTACTGCGCTGCTGGGATGCTGCTGTCCGAGATCGAGGGCTGAGTTCTTCCTTCCCCAAAAAAGCCCCAGAACTACCACCTTTCCGCTTCTTGCAGCGTCGTGGAGAACCAGAGTCATCCTGATATTCTCCATGCATCTGCAACACAGAGAAATTGCAGAGGGTGATGAGAGAAAGGAAACCATGAACTCCTGAAGTTAAGAATCTATTTTAGGGAAGGGGTTTTCCAAAGGTGGAGTTAGAATGCCAAAACTCTAGTGCCGTGTGCGAAGGATAACATAGGTTCCCTGACTGGAGTGTGCATACGTGTCACACAGACTCTTCCATCTCACTGCAGATTTGAGCGGCCAGGGAAGCCCTGCTAGTCAAGAGGGAAAGATCATGGAGTTTGGGATGGGACAGATTCTAGCCCACAGGGAGCCAGCACCTGAGCAATGCAGAGGGAGCAGAACCAGTCCCCAGGTGGCACCTCGGTCATCTTGGGCCGGTGGCAGTAGAGGTGGCAGCCACGATCGCAGCTATCGCATAGCAGCAGGTTCTCATCATCATCCCCTTTTCGGCACACTAGGCAAGTCTAAAGGGCAGGGAGAACAAGGAGGGGTGAGGACCAGCCCCAAGCCAGCTCGTTTCAAATTCAGAGGGCCAAAGCCAACACTGAGCTCTGAGAGGATTCCTTTTTGTAGTCCCTGCAGTGCAGTCCCTGCAGCGTTACACTTATCCAGACCCAACCGTTACTCTAGCCAATACCCTTAGAATGGAGTGACCCTCCCACAGGTCCCACAACTGTCTCATTTCCTCCTATTACCGGCTCAACCACATACATGGCTCTGAAGCAACCACATGAGGAGGATCAACTTGGTGTTCTCCATGCTAGGAATTTCACACATTACCTAAATCTGCTGTGATTTCCTTATTTACACTTGCTTGCATGTCTTTCCCTCTAACAGTTCCTCCCTCAGCCCCATGCTCTCACCGCTCTGACAACCGATTTCTCCCAGGCAATAGATCGCTCTAGCTGGTAGATGCACAGAGAGACTTGAGCCGCACTATGGCATCTTTCCAAGGTCTGGCGCCACATCCTCATTCGGGGTGTGATCTCATATGCACTGCAGGAGGAAAATAAATCTTTAGATGAGGGACCATAATCTTGCTCGACGAAAGAAATGACACGCTTGGAGGCTCACAGTGTGTGGTTCTAGTAAGAAAAAGGTTTATTGTCTGAATCTCAATAGTGGAATTTAGAGAAGCCAGAAGGGCAATTGGCTTGCTTATAACTGTGGCTCTTTATGGAATCATCTGTGATGACATACATATGGGTTCTGTGGTTGCCTAACTTGACATATTCTGGAGTGGAGCAAGGTTTAGTTAAGAAGCTTGCCCCTACCCTCAGTGTCCATGCTCCTGGGCATGGCTCCAATCCTTCCCACTTGGCTCCCAGAAACGACTGGCACCCAAAAGGGTACAGAGGAGGAACAAGCCTAGAACTCCTGCAGCAGCAGCGGAAGGGGGGGGGGGGGGGGGGGTTACCACACAGACGAACACTGAACGCACCAATTACAAAGGCCTGTCCCCCTCCTTCATGTTTTCTGAGCATCACATATGGCTGAGAGGTGAGCTATTCTACTGGAGGCAGGGTCACTCTATCAGATCAGCAACAAGGACAGGATAGACAGGTCAAATGCTACATTCTGTTCTTGTCTGAACATCCAGTTTACAATGAAAAACAAAGATGGGAGGCCAGAACTAGATGGTGACACAACTCTGGGACAAAACCCCCACAGAGGAAAGCAGTTGAGGGCGCTATCCTGTAACATGGCTTGACTATTGTAGTCTAGCACTTTGCAAAACACAAGAAGAGTTTCCTGCAGGCCACTGAAAAAAATAAAAGAATCCTATGTAACAACTTTGTCTAGTCCAGGAAAAAGACAACAGTGTGGCACATGTGCAGAGACTGAAGAGAACATGGTATGGGTGGGTGGGTTTGGAAAAAAGCAGGCAGCATTTTGATTAAGATGGAAGGAGAAGAACATCTTAGGGAGGAAAGTGATGACTGGCTAGAGGCCCATTTTGTCCTTTTGCATGGCCAAATACAGATCCACATATAAAGTACACAGTTCATTTGCAGAGTGGGTAGACTGAATGGCTACCAGGAATACCACCTTCAGTTTCAACAGCCTAGGAGTGTTACTTGCTAAAAGTTCAAATGGCCCAGAGAACAGAAGTACAAGTGTCACAGACTCCACTCCATTAATGCAGCTAAAGGGTTACAAACTGAGTTCTGAAATTTCTCAACAGTGAGGTGATAAATCCCAAAGAAACTTGGAATGGAACGCAGAAATAGCAGCTGAGAAGACTTCAACAGAAAAGGTTGCCAGATTTCAATGAAAGGAAAAACTGTAAAACACATTAAAATGGACAATATACCATTAAAGGTTAAATCCATGCTGGTTCATCAAGTCAAATAAATGAATCTATTTATCTTTATAAGACCAAAGCACAGCTGATTCTGAGATTTTTCAAACACTGTTTGAATGGCAGTAAGGATGTATTCTTTTCACTCACCAGGCTGTGCATCAAAGAGCTCAAACATCCAGTTTTGTCTGAATGTGTGCGCTGCCTTTGACAAACATTTGGAAACTTTAGCTGGTTCAGACTGCTAACTGGGAGTGACTGCAGGGAGCACATTACAAGAGTTTCACTGATTACGAGCCTGCTTCTGGGCACAGTTCAAAGTGATGGTTATAGCCGATATATCTCCAAATGGCTGGGGATCTGGCTACCTAATCCTTCCCCAGTTGATTGCTCAGGTTTTAAGTTCTTTGGAAGAGGCCCTTGACTTGGTCCCACTGCCATCAGAGGCCTATTTGGCGGAGATGCAAGAGAGGGTCTTCCTTAGAGGGACTCCCAGGTTCTGAAACTCAACTCGAATTGGTCGAAATGCTGTTTATGCTGTTTATTTCTATTATTGTTATGCCTTTAAGTTATCTGTTTTTATATAATATTTTACAATGGCTTTGATTATGCCATCATTCTGTTTTTAATCTGTATTTTACAGTTAGTCACTTTAAGTGCCTTTTTTTGGCTGGATATGCATATATATAATGTGCATATTCTAAGCTCCTGAATTAAACCTGCCGAACAAAGCTCTGGGTACCTTCTAACCATGGTCTCAGAATCACAGTTCACCATACCGTGAGAGGTGTTAAATGTTCGTCTTGCCAGGTGGCAAGCTTTGCTCTGGAATACCTTGGCAGATTCATCCTTATCCTTTGGGAAATGGCCAAAGAAGGTCATTGTTTAATCCCATAAAGCTGTTGATATTAGATCTTGCCGGGCTTCTAACTGGAGATACTGTGGGATAAATAAGGCATGAAGATTCCTGCCTGCTAGGTCAACAAGAGGTATCTTGATCTTCTACTGTGACCTATTATGGGCTGCCACTGCAGTTATGAGGTTGGCTGCCAGTGCTTGAAAAAGAAGAAAGTTACTTTCCTACATCCAATACAAATTCTTCAAACAACTGAAGCTGGGGCAAGCAAGGGTTTTGCAACAGTTGATGATATTCAGACTGTATCTCATTGCTTCCAAGTGTGAAGTCATAGTTGTAGTTTTCACGTTAGGTAGGTTTGAGGTCTTGCTTGACTTTCTTGGTACCAAAAAGAGTGAGGTATCTGCAATTCCTATTTTGGCTCCATCTTCCCCCAGAAGATCTATGACCCTCTTAACAAAGGAGAAATACACGCTGAAGGAGGAGGATGACAGCTCAAGCATGATAGACAAATGGTCAAAGATCATCTAATTCATAGATTCATTGTATAGTAGGGTTAGAAGGGGCCAAGGAGGTCATTGGGTCCAACCACCTGCTGGTGCAGGATGCCATGTCACACCATCCCTCTCAGTTGACTGTTCAGTTTCACCTTGAATGTCTTTAGTATGGGAGAACCCACAACCTCTCTTGGCAACTGGTTCCACTGTCATATTGCTCTGACAGTCAGTAAGTTGTCAACATGGTGTCTATCCTGAGTCTGGTGTGCTGCAGTTTAAGTTCATTGTTTCTTGTCATACACTCAGGGATAAGTGAAGAGAGGTCTTATACTTCCTCTTCGTGGCAGTCTCTGAGGTACTTGTAGAGTGCTATCATGACCCTTTCTAGTCTTCTATTCTCAAGGCTGAACATGCTCAGCTCTCTCAGCCTCTCATCATAGGCCTTAGCTTTAGCTGGATCATCTCTTTGTTGCCCCCTCTGAACCCTTTCTAGTTTTTCGGCATTTTTTAAACCTGGGTACCCAGAACTGAACACAGTATTTCTGGTGAGGTCTGACTAGTACAGACTAAAGGGGAACTAGTACCTCCCTTGTCCTGGAAGTGATGCTTCTATTTATGCATGCCAAAATAGTGTATGCCCATTTTGCAGCTGAGTTCAAATCTCCAAGGCCTGATGAACTCCATCCTAAAGTCATAAAGGAGCTTGTGGAAGAACTCTGAGAACCACTGTCTATTATCTTTGTGAAATCATGGAGAACAGAGGAAGTGCCAGATGACAGAAGGTCTAATGTTGTCCCTATCTTCAAGAAAGTTAAAAAAGAAGAACGTAGGAACCACAATCCAATGAGTATGACATCAATCCCAGGGAAAATTCCAGATTATAAGTTTGCAGTCACTCTGCAAACACCTTGAAAACAATGTGGTGATTACTAGAAGCTAACATGGATCTGATTTCATTTTTTGACTGGGTAAACTCTCTGATGGATTGTTGGAATGCTGTAGACATAATCTATCTTGATTTAAGCAAAGTTTTTAACAAAGTATCCCATGTTATCCTGATTAGCAAACTAGCTAAAAGTGGGCTAGATGGAACAACTATCCACAGTTGGCTACAGAATCAGACTCAAAGAGTACTCATCAATGGAATTTTCTCAAACTGGGGCGAGGTAACAAGTAAGGCACTGCAGGGTTCAGTCCTGGACTGAATTCATTAATGTTCATTAGTGACTTGGATGGCAAAGTGCAGAGAATGATTATAAAATTTGCAGATGGGTGGGATACCCTGGAAGACAGAAATAAGATTAAAATAAGATAGGATGGAGTGCTGAGCTGAAAACAACAGAATTAAATTCAATTGGGAAAAATGCCAAGTTCTGCACCTAGGAAAAAGAAATCAAATGCATCATTAAAGGATGGGGAATACTTGGCTCAACAATACTGCAAGTGGGAAGGATCTTTAAATTGCTGTAGATCACACGCCGAGAATGAGTCAACAATGTGATGTGGTTACAAAAATGGCATTTTAGGCTGCATCAATGGAAGTATCACTTTGATATCATGAGAAGTACTGGTTCCCATTTACTCAACACTGGCTGGGCCTCAACTGGAGTACTGTATCCAGTTCTGGGCACCACAGTTTGAGAAAGATGCAGACAAGCTGGAAAGGATTCAGGGGAGGGCAACAAGGATGATCCAGGGACTGGAAACAAAGCCCTGTGAGGAGGGATGGAAAGAACCGGGCATGTTTAGCCTCGAGAACAGAACACTAAGGAGAGATATGATAGCACTCTACAAGTACTTGAAAGGCTGTCACAAAAGGAAGGACAGGATCTCTTCTCAATCATCCCAGAATGCAGGACATGAAACAGTAGGGTCAAGTTACAGAAAGTCAGATTTTGGCTAGGTATCAGAGAAAATTTCCTGACTGCTAGAACAGTATGACAATTGCCTAGGGAGACATTCAAAATGCAACTGGGCAGCCATCTGAGAGGGATGATTTAACTCAATGTTATGCACTGAGCAGGGGGCTGGGACCTGATGGCCTTCTGGCCCCTTCCACCTCTACTGTTCTATGATTCTATAACAACCATACTGATGTCACAACAGTGGAACTGGGTTGCTGGTTTCAGAAAGGATTGGCACCATAGGCCTAAAAATAACCAGCAGTGCCTAACTCAAAATGCAGGGACCACTGCTAACAAACTACTGTGCTATGGAAAAAGCCAGAATTGAGGCCACTGATACTGCCATTTGTACCAAACAAAATATGGCCAATGTGAAGGTAGATGGTATTGCTGCCAGTGCTGTATAACATGCATCAGCAGATGCTAGTGGTATGAATGGTGCCACCTGGGAACTCATGATCAGTAACACTGCTAGAATAGGGTCAGCTGAGTTCATAAAAGAGTAGGATCTTTACTATCCCCTGAAGCCTTTGGTAATTTGGAGATAATGGAGATTAACTATGATGACATGGGTGACATTCATAGGGTGATGATAATGAGCAGCTGGGGTAGTACTATTGAGCAGACCAATCCTAGTCATGAAAGGGTCAGACTCATGAAGATTCAGATTCAAGTATCTGGAAGAATCCTGGTCCCAGCAATGAGGTAACTCTCTGGGTGATACATAGGACAATGAGAGACAACTTCAGTTCCAAGGACGTTCTGTATAAATGCAATCACAAGTGTGGCAGGAAGAGTGCAGATAGTCCCAGCCTCAGCATTAACATGATGTTGGAATGGCCCCATGAGCACAAGGTGATCAGAAAGATCTCCCATGAGAAAACCAGATGGCCAGAGATCTCACAGGGAAGGAAGCTCTGATGATTATTCCTGAATTTTCCCTTCAAAGATGGAACCAATATGAACCTGATTAGAAACAAGATGATCCAGAAGTAGCTGCATTTTATCCAAGGCAGGGATTAAGGATGTCAAAAGAGGTTGGGGAGGTGACAGTATGGTGTCTCGCATTTTTTAATTATCATCATTAAAGGCATTATGTGAATCCTGCAAGTTATGAGTTGACTGTCTCACTTTATTCTCAGCAGCCAGTAGTGCCTGTCCTCACAGCAGAGTCCAGAGCTGTGATTACTTTGGGAATATGTGCAGAAATCAACAAAGCTGACTTCTCATAGGAGCAAAAAAGCAATGTAAACCTTGGGAGACAGTTTACTCCCATAATTAAAATATTTATGAAGCATGTGTCTGATACCATAAGCCCCAAAGCATTGAGAAGATGACTGAAGGTACAATACCAGAAAAACCAAAATAGCAAATGAAAGCACAAAAGCATAGGCTAAAACAAGAAGAGAAAAAACCACAAGGTAGTAATACAAAGAAGAAAAACTCAGCTTGATCTTGGACAAAGATGGTTAGAGATGGAGAATATTTCAAGATGCTTCTGAGCTAATTGGAAAGGAACATGTAGGAATGGCAGAAGGTGGGGTTGGACCTCTCACCAAAACTATACTCTGCTCTAAAACATTCTAGGCAAGGCTCTGCACAGGTAGAGAACCCATTACATGAAGCACAAAGAACTTTTGACTCAGAGTTTACCTGCTCTAGACTACCTACCAAGAAGTAACGTTTAGTTTTCAATTCATTAACCTGATCTATCCTCCATTCTACCTATAGACATCAGAAGTTTGGTGAATGTTGACATTTACTAGCAAGTCTTAAAACTTCAACAGGCCCAGAGGAAAATGTCACAAAATTAAATGCCACAGTCAACTGAATGCCTTAAGTTGAAATATCATTCTCAGTCCCATCATTTTCAGTGAGAGTAAATGTGCTGTGTCAATAGCACTAAGTGTCAAGAAACAGATTCTTGCCAAAAGGATTCTTGTTGCACCTTATTTAACCATAAGACGATATTCACCATCTTTCTGACATTTGCATTAAGACATATTTGCACTATTCCCTATTGCATTAAAAGCTCATGTCAGCATCACTACCACTGCCAATACAAAAATGTTCACAATACATTCTAGTCCACAAGAGCCTTTAAAATAGTAATTTAATGTTTCAGTGTGATCTGTCTTTGGGGTTTCTGGACTCAAAGGTGAGATATACCTGCTTTTAATAAATACAGACACATTCTTTATTCTTAAAGTGAGTGAAACCCAGCCAATTCCATGAACAGTAAAGGAATATACTTACATTTCTGTGGTACCCATCTCCAGGGTACTGGGGTTACTCAGCAACGCTTTTTCTACCACCACCTCATGTGGAGGCCAGAGGGGCTCTTTGAGGTATCTCCGTTCCAGGTTCTGCTCCAGGTCTGCCAGGCGAAGCACTGCTAGGTCTAGGGGGTGAGAAGCTTCCCGCTGCAGGGCTGGTCCTTCACGTCGGTTTTTTACGGTGATGTCTTCCAGAAGCTCCAGCTCACGCTCACAGTACTGCAAATCACTTCGAACAGAATCAGGATCTGGACTTGTCCAACCCTGGAGAAATGGCAAAAACAAAACAAAACAAAAATGGTGAGGTAGGGGCAGGGCAGGAAGAGAAAGGTACAACATATCTGGGGTGTTGAGGGTCTTCTCTCCCAGAACCATACACACCAAACTCTACAGTTCTACAATTTCTCAGGCTGTACTGTTCCCTGAAAACGGCACACTGAGTAGTGGTGTGGCATGTGGTTTAGGTGCCCAAAACAATGTTCAGAAGGAGTCTACACACACTAGAACGAAAAGCCACAATTGCCATAATGAAGCCAACCTATTAAAAGCAGCAAGCTGGAATTGCTCAATGATATCAACGCAGAAGATGGTGTCGAAACAAGATGGCTGTGATTAACGGAGCTTCTGTTATCATGCCGGTATTGCTTGGCAGAGAATCGTGGGAGACTCATCTAAGCCCTGTCGGGGCGAAGACAGATTGCCTGGCATTCTTTCTTTTGGTTGGTGTGGGACGGCAATCCCATATTCACTGGGAGAAATTCAAGTATTTCTCAACCAGGCAACACAGGGAGTTTTTTAAGCCCCTTCCAGTTCTCAATATCTGATGGATTAATTAGCTTATTTTAGCCAGATAAGCATCGGACGGCTGGTAAGCATTCTTATTTCTTTTTGCAATACTACCCGTGGAAAAGCTGTATCTGTTCATAATTGGCTTAAAGAAGAAAGAGAAAGCCCTCCCAAAGTTTTTAAGCGGCAGCTGATATAGGAGAGAATGTGAAAGCTTTTATCTGAATTGAAGCCGAAGAAAAAGATTTTTCTTCTAATCTCTCTAAGGGCGAAAAGCAAAATGAGTAATTACTGTGGAATCAAATGATAGAAGATTAAAAGGTAGAGCGATCATTTTGGATACCTGTTTGGACTTCTGCCAAGACTAACTGGACACGTGCCAAGATAATTTTTGTGTTACGTGGTGTTTTCCTCTCTACTGTGATGACTTTCTGGTGAGCATTTTTACTTTCTTTTTGCAATATTACCTGTGGAAAAACTATATCTGTTGTTAATTGGCATAAAGAAGGAAAAGCCCCTAATTTGCTGGTGGCCATTTTTGGCCAGCTTCCATTTTTTCTGGGACTCCTGCCAAAAAGAAGCTGGACACTGACGACATTTCATTTTTTTAAAATAGTCTTTTGCTGCCACCCGGTGGCTATTGGAATTATTGCAAGCTACTTTCATTTTTCTCTCTTTTTTTTCTTTTTAATATTTTATTCAATTTATATTTTTTCTCCCTCTTTTTTTTTTTGCTGTTATATTGAAACTTCTTTGGTGAACAACTTTCATCATGAGGAAAACTCAGCCCTCTTCAGCACCCTCCTCAGCTAGTCAGAAGCCAATTCATCAGACTAAGACAGAAGATGTTGCAAAAAGCTTAAAAGACTTGCAAATGACGACTTTGGCAATACAGGTGGCTTTAACAACTTTGCAAGCATCTCAAGAGGTGATGTCAACATGGCTGGAAAGCTTATCAAATGAGCAAACAGAGCAACTTGACAAATTGGATAACTCTATTAAAGAGGTGTCAACTCAATTATCTGATGTTCGACTTAAAGCGGAACAGAATACACAAAAATGCAACAAGTATGTGAAAAATTGGAGACAGTAGATAAAGAAATATGTTTAATTAAGCAAATAAATAAGTCAACATGGGACTCAATGGCTGCATTAGAGATGGAGAAGGCATCTTACTATCTAAGATTTCAGAATATACCTGAAGAGAAAAATGAGGATTTGAGAGTGCTTATAACTGACATGTTGGCGAAGCTTTTAGAAATCGAGAATGAGGTCATGAGTATGGGAACTGACCTTGTTTTTAGGGTCAATTCCTCTTATACCAGAAAAAATAAACTTCCAAGAGAAGTTCATGTCAAATTTGCTCTAAGGTCTATAAGAGACAATGTTTTGAAGGCCGTACAGGAGAAGCCGTTAAAGAGAGATGATCGTCAGGAGGTGACGATCATGGTATTCAGCCATTCTGAAACAGATACCATGGAGGATTAGAAAGGGACGAAAGAAATATCTATTCCTACTACAAAACCAATCAAGAAAGAGATTATCTTTAAGTGGCTAACACTAGAAGGAATATTTTTCACATGGAACTTTGTAAGATATAAATTGGATTCAATTCTTAAAGCACAAGAGTTCTATGAAAAATTTAGAGTCATGTTGGAAGAGGAGGACCCTGTCTTCTCTAAAGAAGGAGAAAAAGGTGCCGAAGCAATGGAAGTAACAGCGTACCATTCTGAAGAAGGAGAAATACTGAAGGTTGACTCACAACAAGAAGTACAGACTTTGGACTCAAAGGAGAAAAAAAAAGGTAGAACTGTAAAGGCAAAGAATAAGTAGATAATTTTATTAAATATGGCTCTTAAAAAGGAAGGGAAAATTGAATTGTTCTCCTTAAATGTTAATGGACTAAATGGACCATCTAAGAGAAGAAGGATTTTTGCTCAACTTCAAAAATGAAAGTTAGATACAATTTGTCTACAAGAAACACATGTTAAGAAACAATGTGTTAAACTTCTGGAATGTTTAAAACTGGGAAAATTGTTTGTATCTTCTGCATCGCAAAAGAAAAGAGGTTTAGCACTATATGTTAAAGAAAAATTGGACCCTAAATATATTCTTGCTGATGAGGATGGTAGGATCTTGATGGTAAAAATTACAATTAAACATAAAAAGGTGCTCTTGGTGGCAATATATGCACCAAATGACCATCAGGAAACTTTTTACCAAAAACGACATACGTTACTCTTACAAGTGGACTACCAGACTATGTGTGTAATGGGTGATTTTAATGCAATTGTGAATAAGGGAATCGATCACAAGAATGAAAGTAAGGAAAAAAAAAGGTAGGAGGATGCTTCCAAAGTCTTGTTCCAACATGAATGAAGAACTCAGATTGATAGATGCCTGGAGGCATAAAAACCCAACTTCTGCCAATTATTCTTTTTATTCAAACAGACATAGGTCATGGTCTAGAATTGATATGTTTTGGGTAACTCCAGACTTAGTTCCAGATCTGATAGAAGCTGAAATGGAGACAAATGTCTGGGCAGATCATAATCCTGTATTTATATCACTGAAAGGAGCTGCAAGGATGCCCAGATGGAGTCTAGATAAAGCGTTACTAAAAGATAAAAAATTTACAGAAGGGATAAGCAAAGAAATGCAAATATTCTTTCAAATAAACAAAGCGGAAGAAACTTCTTTACAGAATGTCTGGGATACAGCTAAAGCCTATGTCAGGGGACTGATAATAACCTACTCAGCAAAAATAAAGAAAAAGAAAAAGCAAGAGCGAGCAACATTAGTAGAAGAACTGAGGAAACAGGAACAAGAACTGCAGGAGGATCCAACAAAAAGAAATCTTAGTGTCCAGATGAATACTTTAAAGTACAAATTGAATCTCTTGGATACAAATGAACTTACTAAGCAAATGAAACTGGCTAAACAGAATTTTTTTGAAAATGCTAATAAACCGGGGAGATGGCTAGCATATAAAGTAAAAAAAGAAAGAGAGAAGAGACTGATTTTGAAACTGAAAGACAGAGAAGGACGACTACAGGTACAAAATACAAAAATTAAGAAAATAGCTGAAGATTTTTTTGCAAGGCTATACCGGAAGGAGGAGATTTTGATTGAGAAGGCAAAAGAATACATTTGAAAGGGAGACTTACCAAAACTACCAGAAAAGTATCAAAAATTATTGAATCAAGAAGTAACAACTATGAAAATAACAGAGGCAATCATGCGACAAAAGAACGATAAACCCCTGGTCTGGATGGGCTACCAGCTGAATTTTACAAATCTTTTGAGGGAGCTTTTGCTACATCTCTTAAAGATATATGTAATGAAGCATTGTTAAATGCTAAAATACCAGATACCCGGACAGAGGCAAATATCACATTAATCCCGAAAGAAGATATGGACTTAACACAGATTCAAAATTACAGACCTATATCATTACTAAATGTGGACTATAAAATTTTTGCCTCTATATTGGCAGAAAGGTTGAAGAAATTTTTAATAGACTTTATTCATTCAGACCAAAATGGTTTCCTGCCTAAAAGACAAATGAAGAACAACCTGAGGACTATCTTGGATATCCTAGAATACTATGAGACACACGGAAAAATTATTATTATTATTATTATTATTATTATTATTATTATTATTATTATTATTATTATAACATTTCTATGCCGCCCCTTGCCGAAACCTCGGGGCGGCTTACAACATGATAAAATACAATGGCTCTACTGTTTTTGGATGCCCAGAAAGCCTTTGATAATGTTAATTGGCAATTCATGAAGCAACAGATGGCTCACATGGAGTTTGGGGGAAAATTCATAAATGCAAATCTATCAAAGACAATCGGCCAGGATTTTAATTAATGGAGAATTTACAAGGGCTATAGAGATACAAAAGGGTACAAGGCAAGGATGCCCGTTGTCACCCCTATTGTTCATTCTGACTTTCGAGGTCTTGAATAGAAAAGTCAGGGATGACAAGAACATTAAAGGTATTAAAATTAGGGATGAAAATTATAAATTGCAAGCATTCGCAGATGATTTGGTCTTTATAACAGAGGAACCTTTTGTAACAATCCCTAAACTTTTACAACAGATTGAAGAATATGGTGAGGTTACGGGGATGAAAATAAATAAAGAAAAAATGAAACTTTTAGTTAAAAAATCTTACGCAATATCAGAAAAAAAGACTCCAAGAACAAGTGGACTTGCAGATTGTTAAAAAGGTTAAATACTTGGGAATCTATCTTACAGCTAAATGCACAACTTTGAAAGAAGACAATTACGATAAATTATTGAAGGATATTAAAGGTGATCTGGAAAAATGGGCCAATTTACAATTGTCTTTGATGGGAAGAATAGCTCTTGTCAAAATGAATATACTACCAAAACTTTTGTTTTTGTTCTAAATGATTCCCGTAAAAATTGATAAAAATTTTTTTGAGGATTTAAATTTTCAAATTTTGAGATTTATTTGGAGAAAAAAGAAAGCAAGGATTAAACTAAAAATGTTTCAGGAAACCAAAAAGAATGGGGGTTTTGGTCTTCATGATTGGATGTTGTATTTTAGCCAGTTAAAATAACTTGACTAAAAGAATGGATAATCTTGCGAAATAAGAGAATTTTGTATCTTGAAGGTCATGATTTGCAAATGGGTTGGCATGCTTATATGTGGTATGAGAAGGTTAAGCCTCATGGGAATTTTATAAGTCACTTTATTAGAAGATTATTAATGTCAGTGTGGGAAAAGTTAAAGTCAAAATGTATAATAAATTACCAAGATGGCTTTCACCTATGGAAGCTTTTGTGTATCAAATTGTATTGAATTTTGAAGGGATCATAAGATATGATAATATTTTGGATAAGGATGGAGGCCTGAAACTAGATCAAGAAATACAAGAACAGGGACTCAATATCTCTTGGTGGTATAAGGTGCAGATGCAATCAAGATATGCTAAAGATTGTAAAATATGGGGGTTTTATAAAGACCTAACAGCCTTTGATCAAGTGATGCTAAAAACAGATGAGAAAATGACTAAAAGAATTTATGAGTTCTTACTTGACAGGAAAATGGAAGGGGAACAGGTTAAGGAAACTTTGATAACATGGGCACAAAATGTTGGATATAATATTGAATTAGAAAAGTGGCAAAAGCTATGGGAGAGAAATAATAAGGTAACTTTAGCAACTTCGTATAAAGAAAATTTATATAAAATGTTCTATAGATGGTATTTGTCGCCAAGTCGATTAGCTAAGATGTTTCCAAATATGTCAAATGGATGTTGGAAATGTAAACATGATGTGGGTACTTTTTACCATATGTGGTGGACCTGTGAATATGTAAAAAAGTATTGGATTAAAATACATAAATGGCTTGAGGAAATGCTACAAAACCTTTAGCTTTTAAACCTGAAATTTTCTTGTTAGGCATTATACCAGAAAATATTAGCAAACAAGAAATGTATTTGATGCTACATTTAATCACAGCGGCGAGGATTGCGCTTGCTCAATACTGGAAAAGTGAGGAAATACCCACTGAGGAACTGATTTTAAAAAAGATTTTGGACTGTGCAGAAATGGACAGATTGACTCTATTACTGAAGGAGAAAGAAGATACTGACTTCTATCAAACTTGGGACCTTTTTTATGATTGGCTGGAGAAACGGGACTTGGCTTAGATTTAAAGATGTCTTTAAATTTTTATAAATAGATTTGAATATGATTATAGAATGTTAAAAAGATATGTCATAGGGGGCTGACCCAGTACGTCCAATGTATTTGATGATTGATGCTTTTTAGTTTTTAGTTTAAAATCTTAATAAAAATCTTTATTAAAAAAATGATAGCAATGCACATGAAATTCTAAAGTGCCCTAACAAGGGTGCTGCTCCCAGAAACTTTCCACTAAAGACTAACTAGCTTCCTGTAGGACAATCTAGTTCATGGGTCCTCCAACTAAGGCCCGTGGGCCGGATCCGGCCCACCATGCCCATTTAACCGGCCAACCCCACAGGTTTTGCACTCGCTGTGCACATGCGCAGCTTGCGCACAAGAAGGTCATTTTGGACTCGCTTGGAGAAAATGATCTCCTTGCAAGCAAGCCAGTGCCTCGCCCTACACGCCCCCTGTCCCTGCCTCACATGTGCACACGTCCTGCCCCCTCACCGGCCCACACCCCTCTGCCGGCACTGCCTTGGAGGCCTACACCCACTGCTGGCACCTGTCAACTGGCCCCCCGTTGGAAAAGTTTGAGGACCCCTGGTCTAGTTGCAAGTCTGCTGGCTGGGAGTACTGATCTCCTGGAGGAGCAGTATCTGTAAGCAGGAATAAAAATACCACTATAAATTCCTCTTTTATGCTCTATAATAGTATTTTTAGATGGTCTAGGTTCTTTCTCTTAGACTAAAAAATGGAAGTGACCAAAATGTAGGTTTTGCACAGTTACGCGAGGCCTAGAATTTGCCAAGGTCCTTCAAGTAGACCTTAAAGGTGCAATGTGAGCCTCTTGTTTCACACTAGTAAGAATGCACACACAGAGTTATTGGAGGGACCAAAGCTGTACCGTGTCTTGGTACCTACTCGGATCTGCAGATCAGCCATGAGTACCCGCTGCTCCAGTTCCTCCACCCACTGAAGCACAGCCAGGTCTGTCTCAAAGGCCCGCTCAGCCATCGACCACTGGGCCAAGGCTTCCTGAGAGACAGGGTGGCTGGCACCCTCAGGATGAGTCTGGAAGATGGGATCTAGATGAGAAAGCAAGAAAAACCCATTAGAGTGAAAATGCATTTGGTAGGAATTGCACTAGGGCTTACCACATCCCTCTGCCCCACAGGATGGGAAGCTCTTACCATTGGCAGCTCGGGCACACACCTCCCGTAGGTAATCCTTGTGCTTGATAAGGTGCTTATGCAGGGCTTTCTCACGGATCCCTCGTGGGTGTAGTGCTTGCACCACAGCTTCTAGCTCTTCTGGATCCTGCAACCACCACCAACCACTCTTCATTTCTGCAAGGAAGAACAGGGAGAGGGCAGGAAATAGTTTAGGAGCCTGGTGTCTCTGATAAGTTATGACCCCTGCATTACTGGTCTGTTAGCTCTCAAAGCTACACACTGGGTCAGGTCAGTATACAAAGTCATCAAAGCCTTTAAGCTACTTGGAACAAGATACCGGATACAAAAATCTAGGAAACTTGTAAAAGTATGACTTTTCTAGTTTTTGTGTTGGTAGGAAAAAAATTATTAATCAGCAATGCCAGTTCCTACAAAGACTTACAAGCTGAGGGCACTCTAGGATGGGACTTTGAGGGCTTAATGGGTGGGACTGTCACTCAGGACTGATGTCAGTCTTTGTTCCCTTGCAAAGGACAACTACCTCATCCTCCCCAACAGTCCTGTTTGAAGCCATGTGTCAGTACCTTGACATCCAGTCCAAACTGTACCAGAGAAAAAGAGAAGTGCAGGCTTATCTCACCTGGAGGTATAGGCTGTGCTGTCAGCTGTGTCAAGTACTTCTGCTCAATTTGTTTGAAGAGTTTAGTGGGGGGGCGGCCCCGTCGTCTTGGCTGCCCTAGAAGTTCCTGGGTTTTACTGGGGATGTCTCTGGCTCTGGAGCAAGTACTGTGGATCCTGGAACTGGAATGGAGAGGAGTGGAGGCCAGTGGTTGCAATGCTGGGCTGGTGGTGGAGAGGCCATTCAGCTGCAGGAAGGGAAAGCCAGAGTATATTTCAATAAATATCAACTGTCACACAGCATTCCACCAGCTATTTTCCAACATACCAACCCAGACAGTAGCTATGAGAGCTTGAAAGGAGCTCAGCAGGTGTCCAAACTGAAATCTATCTTTGTCCTCCTACTGCTAGTAGTCAACACTAGGGGGAAGTACCAGAGAAGGATGTGTATTAGCCAGATAACCACAGGGGAGCCTGTTGAAGGGCAATCAGATAAGGCATCTCAACCAAGTGCCCACCACTATACTCATGCTCAGGTACCTGTCAGGCTCTTCTTGCCTCCTGCTGCTCTTCACTCCCCACTCTATGCTAATGAATGGAGCTATCTCCCATAGGAAAAATGGTTCCTCTGCACTGGGGGTACTTCATCCCCTCCAGAGACTTCTGCCAACAGAGCTTTCCCCCCTTGTCCCCCCACCCACTACATGCAAGTAAAGGGGGAAACGGCTTTGCTTGCTTGCATAGTGCTAGGCGGAGTGAGCTAAACTGCTGAAAATGGCTAGTAAGAAGGGGAAGCCATCCCACTGCAAAGAACGCTTGTGGCAACAGAGTGCTTGTTGGAATGGGTGGGCTTCCCCTTCATACCAGACATTTCATGCAGTTCAGCTCCCACAGCAGAGGAGTTACAGTGCACCCTTTAGACAGCTGGACATGAAGTTTGATTCAAAGCAGTTTCATCACCATACAACCCAGCCTGCTCAGGCAGACATAAGCTGTAGTTGTAACAGAAAAATAGACTTCACTGAGAAGAATGCCCCTGATGTGTTGGCTTCCAAACTCAGACAGAGGCACTCCTTTGACTTACCTACTGAACTACCCAAGGTCTAAAGTGGAGCTTGCATTTCCCAGTACGAAGAAGCTTCTGTGTGGCACTCACCTGACGTGCTGAGGCCTTTGACTGGTCCCTGGCAGAAGCCTTGCAATCTTGGGGTGCAGCTTTGAGAGAGGGTTGTTCAGTGGAGGTAGCAAGTGGAAAGTCATTACAGGGTCCCCTGGGCAGCAGATTGAACCAGGCAATCTGTGTTTCTGGGACACTTTCATCTTCTGCAGCAGAGTCTGGCAGCTCCTCTGGGGGTACTGAGTCCCCTTTGCCAGGGCTACTGTCTGGGGTGAGCACAGAGCTGTTAAGCAGTGAAGATGCCTGTTGTGTCTGGCTGAGCCAGGACAAGAAGGCTGACTGACTGAGGTCATGCTGGGACTGGCCCAGGGACACAGAATCCTCTAAAAGCCCATTGATGGGCATGGGTGCAGGCTCTGGCAACTTGGACTCCAGGGGCTCTGCAGGCAGCACCCCCAAACTATCCCTCCATGGCCGGTTCCATGATCGAGAAGTTGTGCAGTTCATGTAATCCACAGCTGAGGGTGTGTCTGTGGCCTCCTTTTTGACTGCTGATGCCTCATGCTCCTCCTCCTTTAAAGACTCTTCCTTTTCCAGTGTGTTCTTTGACACCTCAGGGGAACCTGCTTGGTAAGAGGAGGGGCAGAGGGAAAGAAAAAGAAGAAAAACATCTGGGTAGAGTTCACCACTAGATGGTGCTCAGATATATTCCAAAACAAGAGCTGAAGCAGGCAGGTACAGAACCACAGATGCCATGTGTTTCAGCATTGAACTACTTATTAGGTCACCTGACCATCCCTTATCTGTTGAAAAGCAACCCCTAGCCCTGAATCCTAGACTCACAGTTTCAGAAAACACTGTTTCAGAAAACTTGTCAGCAGTAAAAGCAGTTTTTCAGAAGTAGTTCTGGAAGAAAAGCTTGTAGCACAGGAAAAAATAAGCATTTCTTTTCCTACTGACCACAAAGCATCCCGTTCCAAAGGTGCTTTGCAATAACAAAGCATGCTACTGGATTAATGATATATACAGCTGAAATTTAAAAGGTAATTTGGTCCTCAGATACACAGCACTTCTGAGTAACTCCATCCTTTCAAATATAGCCATGCAATTACTATTCTTTCTACCCGTTTTACCACCTTACTTCAACCAAAGCACCACCTCCATGTGGAATGTGCAATGAGATTTCGAGGCAGAAAAGGAATTTCCTACTTCTGCTGCATTCTTCAGTCCCCAAACTATCCTGTGGATCTTCTTGGAATTTACCCCAAACTATCTTGTGCTTCTTCTTGGAATTTACTCCACCAGTTTTTGTCCTGTCAATCTACATATGACCACAGCAGTCCTGCTCCTTCTCATGCCAGTTCTGAAAATGAAAGAATTACATTCCGTACCAAAGGCCATCAGAAGAAATGCTTATCTTTCTTACCAGACCAAATGATGGGATCTACAGGGCTTCCTTTCCTTTACAGTGAATAAAAAACTCACTTCTGTACTGAAATTCTGGGCTCTACGTACCTGTTGAGACTTCACAACCTTCTACAAAGATCCCACCAAGATGGGGCAGGACCCAGTACCGACGTCGATATCGATCCTGCCCCAGTGATGATGCTCGTAATAACTGGGAAGCATGGAGCAGCTTCTTGCGAAAGAACATTTGGCGCTGCAGAAGAATGAAAATATTAAGAGCACTGAGTGTAAAAATGAGTATTCATGTGCAAACTTCTGCTTTCCAGAGCAAAAACTGACACATCTCCCTAAATTCTTCTATTAACACCCCATAATATCCTGTGCTATGCCTAGCAGAAAACATCTCTACCTATACTATATTTATTCATCTTCTCAACCAGAAACCTTTACCTTGGAAAGCTTTTCAATTTGCCTCTCCAGCTCAGGCACACTGGAAAATGAAGTGTCATTCTGGTGAGAGAAGAAGATTAATTAGAATCAAATCCTCAGCCTTCCCCAGTATTAGCTTCACTTGCTCTGGAAATACTAAAACACCCAAGGGGAATAAACTGAGAGGGGAGTAAAAAAAATAAGATGAGACCTATATTTGTTGATAACAGCAACTGCCTAGGGAATTGCAAAATTCACGAGACACAGAGGCTCCACTCCTATTACACACAAGAGGATGCAGAAAATATAAGCATTGCTTGGGTAGGCTTAAGTCTTGGAAAAATGTCAGATTGACAAGGTGAAAACTGTTTGAATACCCATGCCAGAAGGTATTTTTTAGAAAGGCTTATACTACTCTGAAGTAATTAACTAGGTGGCCCAGAAGAATTTACTTATCCAATTATTCATCATCTCCTATGCTATAGGATCAACACTGCTCCCTCCAAACCTGTCACTCATTATTAGAAAAGAGGCTGAGGGGTACTGCATATGCCCTTCTAACTTGTCTCAGGCACACTATCACTTACTTCATTGTCTTTCCAGGTCCTGTATGTTCTGTTTCTCTCTTCCTCCTCCATTTCCACATCCTCATTCTCCTCGGTGATGCGTGAACTCCGTCGCCACCTCCCTTCCTCCAAACCACTGATTTCTGACTCTGGACGTCCAGTCTTCTTGGCTAGAGCAATCTTTAACCTATAATGCAACAACAAGGCATTAGAAATGAGGAAAGAAGGGGGATGATGTATAATGGGAATAATGTATTTAGATGACCCATATAGTAATGGCAGGTGAAAGTTAAATCAATAAATAATCAATTAGGGTCTTGCAATGAGACAAAGATTCCACCTGATTGTGAGTGATACTTGCCTTAAATAAATTCATGGCCAGTACACCCTCAGGTTCCTTCAACTAACAAGTTACCCCAAACACATTGAGAACATGCTCTTGAGCCACCAGGTCAGAATAAACCAAAATTAATTCCATCAATACATACCTGCGCAACTTTCCTTCAATTATCCATTTATTTCTCCTGTGATTGGACATGTTCTCTAGAGTCTTGTCAATTTCACTGTAGAGGGTTAGAAAAGGGAACTTAGAAAGGGGTAGGTATATTAGGACTGGGGGAGAGGAATTTAATGTGGAGGATAGGAAAATATCCCAGTTTTACCTACATAACACTCTTTTTGAGTCCCATTACTCCACCCAACACACAATTCAGTCTGCAATACAATCTGGCAGCAGTGGAACAAGTTATTCATCCATTTCCTTAAAGACATACATAGCTTGCATAGGGGCAACACCTTTGGACCCAGTATTATTATTAACTATTCTTCACAGGGGGTTCCTGAGAAAAATGATCAATTTGCTATATTACTCCCTTTCTACATAAATTCTGGGTATAAACTGGGTTGCTGCATAACAGTTAAGTTATACAGATATTTATAGAGATAAAAGCAATTCTACAGTGGGAACATACTATCAGGTTTGCCTCCAACCAGGGATAAGTACTTTTCAGGCTTGTAGGCACATTAGGAAATTTGCCAGTCTTTTCCTGTGCACAACCCTAAAATGACTGCCCTATGTGGGTCCAGCTAGTCACAAAGGACAAGTAAACTGTCCTGAGACATTTATGGGAAATTAAGATGGCAGCTCATAGAGTTCTGAAGCAATCCCAGCTGCCAGCAAGAAAACATATATATCTTCTTAAATAAAAATTATAAGGAGTAAGGTGTCTTGGTGGGAACCAAGAAAGTTCTTTAGAAACACAGTTGCGTGTGTGTGTGGCACACTGCCAACCCCCACCTCCGATTACTTCAGCTAGGCTACTACTATCTCATGCTGATATGATGCATGTTGGAATATATGCTAATTTGCACTTGTTAAACCTTGGTCTAAGACATGCTGAATTCCACAGCTGCCCTGAATGCTTTCTTCTCTCAGCTCAATACAGTAACTGCATCATGAAACTTGTACTCAGCCATATCTCCATGCTACCTTTTCAATGTTACATATATATAGTAAGGAGAAACACAATTCAGGGAACTGCCTGAACTGTTACCACTTACTTGATAATAAGGGCACTGCTGTTAAGTTCATTGACTAAGAAAGCCAGGACAGCAGCCTTCTTGTCTGGGGGCAGTGCCTGGAAGGGTTTAGTGTGCAAGCAGCCACATAGGTTCTCATCTGCCCCATAGGCTATGAGGAAGCAGCGAAGGACCTCAGACACAGTGTCACGGTTCAGGCTTATCTCAGACAGTTTCTCACCAAGAATCTTCAGTGACTGGCAGGAAGAATGAAAGAAAAGAATGAACACAAGTGCACACGTGTGCTGGTGTCTTAGTTCCTCCAAATCTGAAGGTAAGATATGAAGGACACAGAACACAAGTAGTTAAATACATTAACCCCACTCCACTCTTACTAATGAAACAGGTTTTTGTTGACATAACTGAATTTTTAAAATCTGCAATTCAGACTGCACATTATAGGATCTTCTTTCATAATTGCAAAGTAAGGCAATAGCGAAACAAAACAAAGGATGTGATTTAACCTGGTCTTTGTGTACTCTGCAATTATAGTACATAACATAGCATACAACATAGGATGTATGTATATATGTACATGCCCCACCTTCCTACTAGGAAACACAACTCAAGGTAGCATGGGGCAGAATTCCACAGCCTGCGAACTGCAGCTTTCATTTAACCACAACAAAACCCCCTATAATAAGCTGCTATGGCTGAAAAGATAGACATGAAGGTGTGTGGGCAAAAATCTCAAAGCTAGTGATGAGGCAGACAAAGAGTTTCAGGTGTTCCTGAGTTAGGTGCCCCAGTTAGCTTCTCATTATGATTCTAAGGCAGGAATGGGCAAAATCTGGGGCTGAGGGAGGGAACACGGGCTCTCCAGAAACCACTGCATAATGTGCCACTGTAGTGATCAAAACGTGCTGATTTTACAGGCCTTGTTTGCTTGCAAAATTGTGTTCCTAGGAGTGTGAGTTGCTTTGAAAACAATGCTCATGCTCTCCGAACACCTCATTTCCTTGCAAAATTGCCACTTTTTGCTGCCTCAGCAAATACCAGGCACAGGAGAGCACCTGGGAAAACATCTGGGAGGGGCTACAGCTGGCCCATGACTTGCCCACCTCTGTTCTAAAGGTTACCAAAAACATATTCCACTAAGCAAAACAGGCAGATATGTTCAACCTGCAGTTTTTGTTCTTTGCATGATTAAATTTCTCTTTGTATAGAATTATGACCCTAATGTCTTCCCCACTACTTTAAAGCACTAGTTTACATAGATTTGGACAGAACATTTGGCAGTAGGCAGAGGAGAAAGGACTTGAACAACTGGGAGAAAGAGAGCACCACAAAGAACAACAATACCTCACAATATGGTCACTGAGGGCTCATCTCATAGAAGCATTTAGTAGGTACTTCTGTGTTTATCTCTGAATTCTAGAATTTCTAAAAACTTGATCTTTTTAAAAATGAAAGCTGACACTCAAGAACTTTGATTGGTTACACTGTTCTGCAGCTTGCAGCATGATTACAGCCATAAAGCAGGCCACAGAACTTCATAACAAGGCATCATCCTATTCTTCCTTTATTGCAATTAAGGTATCAGCAATGACAACACAGAATGTCTGCTCTACAAGCAATGGAAATAGCCTGATTGTAATTATGGCATTAGCTAGAGATTTGATACCTCAAAATTCAAAATTTTTATTCTTCACTGTGTAAAGGTCTGGCACCATTTTTTCAAATGCATAAATGTTTCTATTTCCCTCAGTTCTATCTGTCAGAGAAGGAAGTTCGAAATTTGTGTGCTTGTTGTATGGTTATTTAAATCATTTGGACTTGCATCTTCCTCTCAGATTATACTTTCAGGAAGACCTTTCTCCAATTTATTATTAGTATAAATGACTCCCACCCACCGTATCAAATAAATAATATGCAATTGTCTCCCAAGCAGAGAGGACTTTATGTGCTTAGGACTCCAGTGACCTGGGCAGAAGGTATGTTCTGATCTACCTCAAAGTCACTCAAGTTCCATGTTCAGTGACACACTGCAACAGCTCCTGGCCCACCACTTTAAAACCCCAGTGTTTGATTAAGTATGTAGACACTGCATACTTAAGGACATACATATACTAGGGCAGGAATATCTTTTAACCTATCTGCTAACCTACAAGCCCTCTACTGTACTGATGACTAGAAATCCCAGTCTACAACTGACTCACGCAGGAAACACAGAACAAAAATAATAGTCGGACTATGCATATAACACCATTCCATGGGAAAACAAGAAACTTGCATAATGTGGTACTGAGTGTAGCTTCCTGAGCCTCACAACTTCCATTTAAAAATATACTCTCTTTATAAGCAAGAAAATGTAGAGGCAATGCCTTCTAATATCTCAGAAGCCAGAGGGGTGGCTGAAAAAGTTGGTTAGCAGGAATCCATTAGGTCAGAACTTCAGTGGTTTCCACAGTAACTGCCCTTTCCTGCAGCAAGTCCAGAATTATGAAATATAAAAAGAAACTATTCAATGGTATTAATTTTCTTCAACATGGAATTCAAATTATATGACAAAAATACTGTAGATCACCCACAGCCCTTATCACAGCATTATGATTTTGTGTATGCACCAGCCTGCAGCTACCCACACACCTTTTACTACAGCCTTGGCAGTTATTCATATTCAGACTTGTGAACTGACTCAATACAGTTACATACACACACACTGCCCTACCTGACTGTAAGGCAGGCCAGGGTCGTATAGTGCCGCTTTCACCAGCTTTACCAGGAGATCCAATACTTCACCCAAACTATCGCCTACATTGAAGAGGCCCTCTTGCAAAGTACTCAGACCGGGAACCTCCTTGGCTACATCAAAGCCCAGCACCTTGCCATAGTTATGCAGAAATTCCACAATGGCTAAGCAGTCTGAGAAGGCTTGACTAGGCAAAACCAATCCAGGGATGCGAGAAAATTCTGGCATAGGCTATGAAAGATTGGGGGAAAAGACAAAATATCAGTACAGAATGACTGGAGTTAAGATCCAGAAGAACAGCTAACTGTGCCCTTACTGCAACTTTCCAGGCCAGGGGTTGCAATTACTACAAGACTGGTAATATTAAACAGCATCCAATATTATACAGTAGAAGGCAGGAATATATCTTTGCAATATTGCCAGGAAGCATCAGATCTGCTATTCCCCAATAACTTTAATTATCATGCTTCAAAAGTGTTACGTTTCACTTGGATGAGCTAAGCCTGATGAGTAATATTAATAGATGTATAAGAAAGCATTTCAGAGATTGAGCTACTTAATTTTGTCATTGAAACTATTCTAGCATTTTGGTTAAAGAGTTAAATGAGCAAACCATCAAATCTCATATCACAGAACATTACATTAGTTGTAAATAATGTCCTGTAATCATGGCAGTGATATTCCTTTACCCAACATAACTGGCTGTCATTGGCAGGACCTAGAGAAAAACGCAATGTTTCCCTAGATGTGAAGGTGGGAATTAGCATTCAATTGCCATTCCTGATAAACAAAAATGGGTTATGACTCTGGCTTGTTTCTTCCCTAACAAGCCTTCCCTAACAAGGCAGAACTCCTGATTTATGCAAAACACTACCTAACCACGAACAGTAGGTTTATGGTCTGTTCAACCAATTGCATTTGCAGGAGAAGTGATCAGGCAGCACGGACCAGCAAGTCACCTGGTTCAAATGATGCAGAACTTTTTAAAGAAACTGCATTATCATGACATGCTGGTAAATAGTACCAGGAAACAGGGAACCTTGTGGCTCATGGGGTGCGCTAAAAATCAAATCATATCAATCAATAAATGTTCCTAATCCCTTCTGCCCCCAACTTCTAGAGGATCAGCACTCAAGAACTTGAAGTAGGTCATCAGCTGGCTAGTTTGTCTCAAGAGAAATGAAATAGGAGCCTGTTTCCCCCAATACAATGTACCCAAGAGGCTCAACACACCTGGTGGTCCCCTAGGCACATATCCTCAGTGGGTTTCTTCATCTCCTCCAAGATCATTTGCTGTCGCTGTCGTTCTTCCTGCCGTCTCTGGGCAAGAGCGTTCTTATCAACCTTCCGAGGAACCTTTGCTGATGTTACTACCTTCTTTTCCTTGGGCTTCACCTTTTCTTTTACCTTTACTTTCTCTTTTAGCTTCTCTGGCTTATTCTTTTCTTGCTTGTTTTTTTCCTTCTTTGTTTGGGGCTGAGGGAAGGAAAGGAGAGACATATAAAGCTTTACATGGGATTATTCATATCTGGCTACTTACCAGCTTTTTTAATTATCTCCACGTTGCCATGATCTACCTTAGGCTTCTTTTTGACTTCTTTAGTCTTGACTTCCTTCGGTTTCTGTACCTTGGCTTCCTGCTTCTGTGTCTTGGCTTCCTGCTTCTGCTTATTTTGTACCTAGAAAGAAAACCAAATAAGATAATGCTGCTAAAAACACAGATGAGAATACAATTAAGAAGAACAAGCCTTTGTTCCATCATTACAATAGCAGTCCTCAGAAAATTTAACTGTGGACATTTAATCTGAAAAATTATAGACCCTCCAATATCCTCTACATTCTGCTAAATTGGGTAGCTAACATTTCTCATACTGCTTAACTTTATCATACAATTAATTATGGAATATGACAGACTGAGAATATTAACTTTAACTAAAGGTTTCTATCCCTCATGGCTGTAGAGAAATGCTTAGCAATGTCTGATAAGTGTATGAGGACTGGGGAAAATTCTTTGATTCCGTTTGCTTCCCTGTGCTCAAACTCAAGTAATTTTTCCTCTCTCAGTTCCACTCTATCATAATCTTTCTATAACCCCCCACATTCTCCAGCCTTTTAAAATGAAAGCAGTTATGTCAATTTATTTCATTATATTTGAGACTTGAAATATTTGCCTTGCATTGCAACACACTGAATCTTACTGGTACCCTATGAAGAGAGTGCCGATCCACCTGCACCCTGCTCTATCTTGTGTTTGAGAAATGTTCCTTTTATGCCAAAAACAGTTCTCCCCCAGCTCCATATGGCGGGAATGCTCCAATTCATTTTCAGAATACACTAGCTACTCTGTTTTACTGCATGTACCTTTTGCCTCATTTTCTTTTTGAGTTTGCTCATCTTCAGTTTATCTTCATCACTGAGCACCTCTGCAAATACAAATGAGATAAAGGGAGAATGAGGAAATAAAAATGTAAGACAAACCAGCCCTGCACTCTATATCCAATAGTACTGTCATGTTTATAAGAAGGTTCCAAAAGACAGAGGGCCTTAGGTGATAATGTTCTCAATAAAATACCTCAACGTGAAGATGAAACAATCTATCCAAGTTTTACATTCCATTCCCCAAATAAGTGGTATTTAAGTCCTGAGAACAATTATTTATGACCACCAAATTTCTTTCCCTATTTATTTGCCCTAATGTCAGCCTCCACTGGCACCCAAGAATAATGAAGTTTGCTTTTGCCAGAAGTAAATGTTGTTTACTTCAAGGATATACCAAACCAAACACCACACCGAAAGTTACTAGAATTTATTTATTTATTAAAACATTTCTATGCCGCCCTTTGCCGTAGCCTCGGGGTGGCTCACAACATATTTAGAGGCCTGCTTGATAAGGGAACTTATGATTCTGGGTATATCTCAGCACCATACCAACTGCATGGCTTCTTTGCACTGCTGAACAATAATAAAGCCACTCTCCTTTTGAATACTCTCGACTGACCCAGAGTCTGGCTGAATCCACAAAAACATATTGTATGAGACTGAAAATTTTAGCTATGTGCAGAGGTGAAGAATACTCCCACCTTGCCATCATCTCTTATATAATCTACTATCATGGTAGCTTCTACAGCAATCACCACATGAAAATACTAAAACTAAGCTAACAGGTCCATCATTAAATGAATGATGATACATGTTCCCACATGCACACATGGAGCAAAGCTGTAATTTCTCCTTCCCTATTCCATAAGGCATTCACAATTAAAGATAGTGAGGGAATATTGTTACAGGACACTTGTTAGCTACAGGAGAACCCCCCAAAACCCTATATCCTGTGAGGAAAGTTCTAATAGCACTTCATCTGGGCTGCGTACCTTCTGCATCTAAAACTACCCAATGAATAAGGCCTGACTGAACATCCACAAGTCCTTAAATACAGGACTGCTTGCTTTTAAATATTCCTTGTGTGAACTCATATGAACTTTGTAGTTCTATTTTTCAATTTCTCAACTTTAAAACACTTGTGTGTGTGTGTGCGCGCATGTGCATACACACACACACTTTTCTACCCTTGTGGCTGTGGTGGTACACAAGAAAGGTAGGAAGACAAGGTCTGTAAGTGCTTCTACTTCTTAGGAGCAGAGTTCTTATACTCTGTCTAGCTATCTGCCCCTCCCCTCAAGGTCTTCAGTCATGTTCTCTTACCTATAAACTCTTACTGCCCCTTGCTTATCCGTTCCTCTCTTCCTGCTGCCACACCGCTCCTTGACAAGAAATTCCAAATTTTGCAAAAACTCAAAGATTAGTTTCCGGAAAAAGCATGCAAATGGAAATTTATGCAAAATAAGCAGATTTGCATGCATCTTGTTGATTTGCTTTATTTTTGAGAGCAAAAATTGAATTTTCTTGATGCATAGAATGAATAGCCCTGCCTCCAAAGACTGACAAACAAGTCCTGGCACAAACTAAAGTTCTTTCTTGTGAAAGCTACCAGCATGCAGAAAGGGATTGCCCAGCTGATACCTTGAGCTTCCAGTTTTTTCAGAACCCGGGCATCTGTCTTGCTCAGCAGGTCAGGCACTTTCACTTTGGGAGGTCTGCCACGGCCACGTTTCACCTTGGGCATTTCCTTAGCTTTGGCTTTCTCAGTATTGCGGGGGCGGCCTCGCTTGCCTGTGATGGCTTGGATACGTGAGGGAATTTCTTCAGGTGTCAACTTGACCCAATGCAGACCCTGTGAAAGCAGGAAAGAACATCTATAGAAATAGATTTCTCCCCATTTCTTCCAGTTTCAGTTTCCTGCAGCAGTGTATCAGTGATCTTTTCCTCAAGAGACACTTTGTGTCACTGATGTTTCTCCACCCCCTCACCCCCATAAATACTCCTAGGCATGGATGCTGAACTAATTTCAAGAGATGACAGGGGCAGTGGAAAATTGATAAGATACTACAAGCTCATTCTTTGCATGCCAAACCATAGTTTCAGATACCGGAATGGCACCACAACTTCCTTTTCCATGGACATCACTGGAAACATGTAAGTTTACAGCAATGGAGCTATGCCCTCCCTTACTTAAGAGAGCACTTATAGGAACATTTAAGACAACGCCTCGACTGAATGGATGTTCCTTTGAAAAACTTCATTTGCACTTTACTTCCCTTGAAGATACCTGGCCCATGTAATCTCAGCAAAAGAACAGCTGCAAAAGGGATTGATGCCAGTGATTCCTGGCAAACTCTTGGCCTTGCACCAATACCCACCTCAGGTGAATCCCGCTCTTCAAAAAATTCCCCTACTGGCATTCGTGGACTGAAGCTGAAGTGTTCACGACGGACATTCTGCACAACATTTCTGCTCAGGTACTGGAGAAGGAGGAAGTCACAAAAATGTGAGCCAGTCAGATCTTGTGGTAACTCCCCAAACTTTTTAGATGGGTGATCACATATAGAATGTTGAGAAAATGATGCAGACTCTCACAAAATGAGAGCAGATCCTCATGCACAAAACGGTTGCCATGTTAGGTGCAACTGGTCATGAAGCACCAATTTCCTAGAAAGCAAATAGGCAGGGCCCAAAAACGGTGACTTGCCCATGGTTTTAAACAACAGGGAAAATTGGAAACTGGGCTTCAAACACAAAGCTGCTTTTTGAACCCAATTTTTTTCTGCTCTAGCACCCATTTTACAGCAAGCACACTAATACGGCTCAAAGACACGTAACTTGATCAAGAATCTGAATACAAAACAGAGGCAGGGTTGAGCCACAACTACCAAAACACATGTTTATTTCCACAGAGCCTAACAAACTACCCATTTCATAAAAGGCAACTTGCCGATGCTCAAAGAAATACACATGGACTAACAAACATACATAGGCAGCAAAGCACACGCTGCACCAAACAAATCAACTATCCCCTGCAAGCACTCAAAGCCATATATGTGCAACCCCTCCCCCCTCCCGCATGCCTCCTACCACCTTTCAGCTTACTTTTTCTTTTTTCTGGGCTGCTGGGCACATTCCAGAAGAAAACACTAGGCTGCAGCCATCTACCACTTTCATTTTTTAAGAATGCCTTTGGGGCCAGTGTTGGATCCAGAGGCATTCATGCAAACAAATAGCTGGAGGGAAGTGTTTGCTTTTCAGCATGCCATCTTCCCAGTTTTAGTTTTAAAAATAAGTTACTTTTAAATTACAAAACCAGAGGGGCAGGCCCATGAGGACCACACTGGGACCCCAGGCTCTAGCCTTCGAAAGTAGAAACTATCCCTGAGGTAGGCACTATATTCATTCGAGCTAACTCTGGATCAGCCTCTTGCATAAAGAGTCCAGCTAAGATAGTACCTAATATATGAGCAAAACCTAGCCTCCTGCTCTCTGAAGGAATGAATCCAATGAGAATAAAACAAATTTTAACTTGTGGCCAATTCTCCAAGAACAGATCACATTCCACGGTTACTAGCTATTAATAACTCCTACTAATGTTGATGGAAGTTACATAATAGAATGGTAGGTAATGTTATAAATCAGGTTTGAGAATACTCAGAGTTTAAAGCAGGAAGATTGCAAGAGATCTATCATAACCTAAAATGAAAGACCACTGAATAAAAAAAAAAGATAGTCAACTGAATACTACTGATCATAATACTATTTTGTTTTAAAATATTTTCTTTTATTATGAAAGTGATAAAGGTTCATGAGCTTCATGAGTTCAATGCAAAACTGCTACTGCCCAAGATTATTTAGTCTTTAGCAGTTTCCTCAGCAGCTCAAGGACATACTGGCTTGCTTCCCTTCCACAGTGGGTAAGTTGCCTTCCTTCCTCTATAACTTGTTGTAAAGCAAAATTGGCGTTCTGGTTGCTATAGCAAATGAAACACTGTATAAAACACTGTAACTCCAAGACAAGAGAAACAATTACTGCATATTGTCTTGTCTTGAAGCTAATGGAGAACTGTATCTCAACCAGAATGGGGCCAGAAAGTAATTGCTAGGCAAAATAAGCTGTCAATAGATCAATCACAGAAAGTGTTTCAGGAGGAAATCTGTCACCATTGAAACCTCTCTGGGAGGCATATTTTACCTTTATCACCTCTGGAAACTGCTTCATCCTCTTGCCGCACGGTCCGTAGTACCAAGTTTCTCCCTGCCAGCGGCTGCTGCCCTTCTTGATGCGCACCTCCCTTCGCCATCTGAGCATGAAAATGGCCAAGACTAGGTATTTGCACCCTCACTCTGCAATAGCTGCCACTGTGCTTGAATCAGCACCATCACTGTAGGACAATAACCCGTCCTGCTAAATGGTACCTACCCGTGTTTTAAGGGGTAGCGCACCTCTTCCACTGTGGCTATCCGCCTTCTTGGAACATCACCTGAACAGAATGAACAACCATTATCAATGCGACCAACTGCAAACTAATCATTTAAAAGCAGCTAGGGCAGGTGAGGGGGGTCTACTTACTTTTAGCTGATACACTGAGTACAGAGACTTCTTTGTCGTTTCTGTCTATCATGGATGCAAGATCTTCTAGGCAGCTATTCTTGGCTGCCTCTGCCATGGGGGTATCCAGAGCTTCTTGTTCAAGTGGTGCTTGTGAATCTAGAAAGACTGTGCTCCCCTGCCCCACTTCATTCACGCCTGTCAATTCCAGGCTGCTGTCTGCAGCAAATAAAGGAGAGATTGCTAAATAGGAATGTAGATGAGAAAGGCTGTAGATTTACAATATTTATTTATCCAAATTACACACTTACAATAAAGTTAAAATTAGATAATTAAGTATATTGTTACTGTGCCTTAAGAGGAGCTTGTTCTATGCTGAGGGCTGTCACTATGGGACGGAAGGTGAATCAAGAATAGGTCCAACATGCTGGAGAAAGGAAAGGGACTTCTATCTCAGAATATAAAAGGGCTGGGAAAGGCACAAATGTTTTTCCTTTTAACAAAGGCTTAAAACAAGAGATAACTAAGATCTAACTTCTCTCTGGCCAGCACAAAAAGCAAATTGCTTTAGTTTTGAGAGACTAACTATAGATTCCAAGCATCAAAGAACAACAGAAAATGTCAAATTATTGTGTCTAATATGGGAGGCCATTGACCTGTCATAATTCACCCCTACTGAATTCCTAGCAGTTGAGCAAAACTCCATAAGGTGAACATCACTAGAGAGGAGCCAGTCTATTCATTGTGTAGACAGCTTGCTTCATCACTTACAATCTCTCCTCCTACTATTTTTACACAACCAAACTATCTCATAATGCTTGCAATCAAGCGGACCTGGATATCTAAAGGAACGCTTGCGCCCATGTATGCCCTCCCGCCCCTTGAGATCAGCAACAGATGCCCTTCTCTGGGAACCCTCTGTGAATATTAGGAGGGTGAGTACCCAGAGGAGGGCTTTCTCTGCGGTGGCGCCCCATCTATGGAATGCGCTCCCCAGAGAGGTCTGCCTGGCGCCGTCGTTATTTGTTTTTCGGCGCCAGACTAAGACCTTTTTATTTAAAACTTATTTTAATTGCTAAATTATTGAATTAATTAGGATTTTAAAATTAGCCAAGAATGCACCGGGGGTTTTTTAATGCTTTTTTCTTTTAAATTATTATTTAATTTAATATGTTTTTATGTATTTTTTGTGAGCTGCCCCGAGGCTTTGTTGCGATGGGGGCAGCACAGAAATGTTTTAAATAAATAAATCATATAAACAGCATAGTCCTCTGCAGCTACTTGTGGATTAGTACATTTCTATTCTATACTGTGGTTATTGTGAAACGTAATTGCTAGATTCATCTCAAAAAATAGACCTGCCACTCTCCTAAAGACTGATTGGTAAAAATTCAGTTTAGCAAACTTCTACTTGGAAAAATCACAACATACCTCTCCAGCACATTGTGAAGTTAGACAATGATAATCCTCATATAATGTAACAAAAGTAATCCCACATCATGAACCCACCCCCAAAATGGGAGTGCTACACACTCTTATATATACATCATGTGGAAAATATGCCCCACTATCCCTATTATCTGTAAAATTATTGGTCCTACCTTTGATCTGTACAATTATTTGGTAGAGCCCAGCCTACTACAACACCAAATCTTTTTTGTCAAAGTTGGAAGAATTAAATGTGTCATAAAATGTATACTTCAAAATCCCACGTCTTTCTTTCCCACATGTCTTCTCACAAGCAAATGCTACTGTATTTGGCCACAGATTAATGCATGACAGGATTTGCATTCTTCATTAGCCCTTGAGTAAAACAAGTAAGCAAAGTCAATGCCTCCTGGAACCTGTAGACCTTGCTCACCTTGCAAAACAGACTCTCCAAGAACAGGTGGCAAATTGGCACTTCCAAAAAGTGAGGTGTCAGGCTGACTATCATCTGCCAATAAGCTGAAGGAGTCCGAGTGGTTGAGAGAGGGGCTGCCAGGGCAATCCAGGGCTGAGATGTCAGGAGGGTCCTCCAGCGGGGACTTGCCACTTACCAACTCAGATGTATCCATCTCATAGAGATCTCCTGTCCCCGGATCTGCAAGTCATGAATAGGAAACATGACTGTTATATACTGTACAAGCCAGGGACCTTCTGTCTAACTGGCACAATGTTCTCAGCTACACCATCTAGAATTTCAAAGGACTTCTAATATTCATAATCTTTCTGTCACTGATCTGCACAGTCAGGATGATCCTAAGTAATATTCTCCTAAAGCTGGGGAGAAACATATAGACTGCAATTTGCCCAAGGATGCACATGATTTATCAGAGATTTGAATGAAAGCCCAAGTTCAACCTAACGACTTGACCCCACTAGGCTTTCAAATATAGTTCTTTTAGGAAAAACTGCTTTAAGAAAGAAGTCAAACATGGGGGTCAACCTATTAATAATAGTATTTATAGAAGTCAGTCAATGTTACAGCATATAGTCATAGTTTCCTACAATTTCACCGGAAAAGAGACCATCACAAAAACAGATTGAACAAGCCAATCATCATGTGCACAGCTGCACTTTTACAGCAGTTACATAAAATGCTTCACATCCACCCCCATAATCCTCACTACAGCATTGTAAGATAGGCCAGTGCTAACCACTGAATTTAGCTGGAGAACAGAAGCTTAGTGAATATAGGCCTGCATTAAGGCAACCAATGGAGTTAATGACACAGAAGAGATTCATACAAGCAACTTCCTAGTCCACATGATCTTGTCCATATGTGGAAGAGAATAACCTGCAGTTTCATGAATATAAAATCAACATAATTGTTATATTTCTCTAATTTCTGGGATAGTACTAAGAAATGTAGAAAAGCAAGATTACAATTTGGCTCATTTATATATGAAAGGGTATAGAAAAATGAGAATCAGTTTCTCTTTCAACATTTATAACATGTGATGTATTTTGTTTGGGAGAATAATGATGTTTCTAAATGTCTTCTGATTCTGCAAAAGGATTATTGGGAAAAAAGCGGATAAATGAAAAAAGAATTATAAAACAAGTTTGAATTTCTAGTAGAAAATATGCCCACAGAAATGATGTGGGGATATGCCATCTTAAATCAATTTCAGTCACTTTTCCTATCCTAAACAAACTAAATAATTTATTTGAATCTTATAAGAATAGCATTAAAAGGAATATTAGAAGATTAGGTTGGAGTAGGAGTAGTAATTTTAAACACATATAAAACATGTATAAATAAAACACAAATTGCAAATAACTGAAGCATAACAGAAAGAAGTTCTATGTTAAATGAACAGATGTGTTCTATTTATGGAGTAATTAATGAAATATTTAAAATAAAAGGTTTCTAGCAAACAGATATCTCATCCAAAATCTTTTAGAAGCTATCAGAATTGTTAGGTTGTAACATTTATTTTTTGGAGATTGTGATTAAAATGTAATACAATTGATAATTTAAAAACTAACCTGAATTTATGTCTATGGTTACAGGCATGTGGTTTGGCTCTCCACTATCAAAGCTTGTTTGGAGAAAAGCAATGGTGTTGCTAGAAAATTAGGATATTCCAAAGAAGTGTTTGGTGGGCCAAAAGTACTTTAAAGTACAAACACTGGGATCAGAGATTGGAGTCTGCAATTGCCTCATCAGGATATTGTATTCTTGCCAAATATTCATGGTAGTATGCAGAACAAAACTGATCCTAAGTCCCTGCATTTTGGTGCTATATCAAAGGCAAACTCAATAGCAAATTCAAAGGACAGATTCTGCCTCCAGGGTCAATATTATTAGATAGCCAAAGATCTCAATATTGACATTAGCCTCATTGTATGAGCCTGTCTTCTATTCAATCCTACTCAAAGTTAGCTAGCCACAATCTTTGCTAAAATAGAGAAAGAGAAACAAACAAATGAAAAAGGCTCAGAAATGTTGCATGTAGCTATCTAGGAGCAGATGGCAAGTGTCAGAACCTGCACACCAGGGACACATCAACATGGGAGCCATTTACAAACAAGGCAAAGAAACTTTTGTGTTCAGCAGCAAAATTGCTAGAAGTCGCTTTATTCAAGGTCTTAGGAGAAACTATCGAGGAGCTCCTTGTCCAGCAAACCCTATATAGTGGCTTGTTGAAAAAAGATGTCTAGAAAAGAAAATACCAGCAAGGGCAGTTTGCCATCACATTTTTCATGTGAAAACCCTAATAATCTATGGAATGCGCTCCCCAGAGAGGTCCGCCTGGCACCGTTGTTATTTGTTTTTCGGCGCCAGGCAACGACCTTTTTATTCAAATGTTATTTTAATTGTTAATATTATTTATTCATTTTATTCTTTGGCCAGGGTGACTTAATTTATATTGTTAATTTATATTGTTTTATTGATTTTTATTTATTTATGGTTTGTGAGCCGCCCCGAGGCTTCGGCGAATGGGGCGGCATAGAAGTCATCTGCCTAAATAAATAAGTAAGTAAGTAAGGGATGTTAGTTCTGAACGTGGAGGAAAGTACCTTTTCTAAACCACTCTGGCTATAGGCAGTATGATGGATGAAGATCACACACTGAAAGCATGAACACTACCCCATACCCATATATTAGGAGGAGGCAAAGTACCCGGAGGAGGGCTTTCTCTGCGGTGGTGGCCCACCTATGGAATGCGCTCCCCAGAGAGGTCTGCCTGGCGCTGTCATTATTTGTTTTTTAGCATCAGACTAAGACCTTTTTATTTCAACAACATTTTAATAACTTTTAACATTAGCTATATAGGTTTTAATCTGCAGCCAGGGTGGACCTGGATTTTATTTGTATTATGTTTTATTTTTCTTATTTATGTAAGCTGTCCTGAGGCTCTGCGAAAGGACAGCATACAAATAGTCTAAATAAATAAATATACCTCTGTCCAATGACTCAAAAGGCTCCAAGGAGTCCTCCAGAGGAGGAGGGATCCGAGAAGCTTCTTCTATGCAAGCACCTCCAGCATTAGGCTCCAAGACAGAGGCTTCCTGGCTGAGAGGTTCACCGACTGGAGAAGAACCATTGTAGCCACACATTTTCAACTCTAGGAGAGATTAATAGATATATTTATACACTGTATTTTTAGGCAAAGTGAAAAAATATCAGCCATTAATTTAGAAGACAAGGAAGGAAGGAAGGAAGGAAGGAAGGAAGGAAGGAAGGAAGGAAGGAAGGCCGGAAGGCCGGATGAATGGAAGGAAGCAAGCAAATATTACCACATGGCTTGGTCTACTTGGAAGGAACATTTATGAGTATTTTATAAAACTTCTTCCCAAGACCCATGATGGGATTGATGTGTCAGGTCTGGATGACATGCTAACCCAGTGTGGGTCCAACATCGCCTAGAACAAGTCATGGTTTGTCTGAGTGACTTGCTGCCTGAAAACTACCCACCCTGTAGGAAACAACCCAGGTTTGCATGACATGGCAATCCACAATGACTAATTACCCACAATGGATTTCCCTATTGTGCAAACCCAGGCATGAAATAAAATTAGTAGCATTGTGGTTATTGTTTCAAATCACATCAATAATATTCACATCTTGCACTAGGTCTTGGGTACCACTTAGGATGAAGTACAGTGTTGCCTCTCCTCTGCCTAGTTGCATGACCAACAGTTACAGGGCATAATGAGTTAGAAATTTTACGTCTGGTGTTGTGACCAAAGGAAGCATTTATTTAGTTTATGTAAGGGACACTGAAGTCACCTATTATTGTAACACATTCTCCTTTGAATGCTGCCCTGATTTAATTCTCTATCTCAAGACTACCTTGAACATCTTGATCAGGGGAATACTAGTATGTTCCCACAACTAGGTTATTTTGGAGACCTGGTATTTTCAGCCATTCTGTGGAAAAGTTTACCCTTTGGAGGTTTCCAGTTTGACAGAATGCTCTCTTTAATATATAGGCCAAAACTGTTCCTGCTACTCCTTTTCCTGAAACAGCGGTATCCAACAAACACAACTCTGACAGTCTATTAGGTATCATTTGGCTTGCAAACTTCATCTGCTGTCTTGTTGAGTTAAAAACCACACAGATCAACCCCAGAAGTTAGTGTGTGAAGCTTATCTATAGACAGGATTCTTTCATACTGAACCAAGATAAATTATCTTTCCAATTTACTACTCAAACAGTCTTCAAGTGTATTCCTGTTCAAAAGAGAAAAAGCTTGCATAATTATAATATCTACATGAAATACTCTCACACATCTTCATCTTGCTTCCACAAGGCTCTTTACAGATTCATAAAAGAGCCAACATGTATTGGCATTAATGTCCCTCTTTAACGGAATGCCCAATTCAGAAAAGCAGGTGGCTTGTGGTGATTTTCCTTAAAGGGCAATTCATGATCACCACAGAACCTATGCAATGCAACCTCCCAAGTATAACTTAGGGCACTCACTGAGACAGGTACAGCAAAACCTGTATCAGTTTTTGGGAATGCATATATACATTCCTACATAAATGTTTCCACTTATATTTCTATACCGTAAGAAGAAAGGAAGCTATTAATCTGTATTACTTTTTTTAAAGTTACTAGCCAGTTACCAAGTGAAAAGCATATCAAACTGGGACTAGAAAGTTCACTGATACTTCTTCAAACAAATTACAAGAATCCATGAATAGGGTATGGGGGGCTTATTCAGATATAGCATCTTACAAGAACGGCCTGTGCGCTATCACTTGAGCAAACAGGCCCACTATTGGACAAACAGTGTAGGAAGACATATGCCAAGGCTCCACATGGTTATACAGCATTCTCGTGGTTTTACATAAAAAACAATTCTACAGATGCCACTGAATATCCTTCTCTTATTGTTCTACTATGACCAACCATAGCAGGAATACATTTAGACCATTTCTTCCCAACCTATGAACACCAGGCTCTCTTCTCTGAGGCCCTTAAAGACTTACTTGACCACCCAAGGGCTTGAGGGAAATTATACATCCCGGGTATTTTGCAGAATCATTCTTTGCTATTGTCCGTTTTGGCTCTTTTAAACTTTTAAATGCCTTCTGCAATTTTTATGATGTTTTGTTGTACTTTTATTGTCTGTTTTTATGGATTCTTGTAAATTGCCCAGAGAGTTTCAGCTGTGGGGCAGTATAGAAAAGAAATTAACAACAACCACGACATGAAATGCAACTTCTGTGAGGTTTTTTAAAAAGGCCTAACAATGATCAAGAGTGACATATTCCACATCCGAGATTGCCTCAGATAATTATACTGTAACATCAGTCTCAATCTGGCTGGGGCCTGCACTATTGCATATTTTGTGTAATGACAAATTTGGACATCAGCATGTCCTTAAACAAATATAATAATCCAGCGCTAGATCTCCTGAATAAAAAGTCTGGGAATGATTTGGTATTTTACCTGGCTGTGTGCTCTCCAGCTCCATGCTGCCCAACAACCTTGCACCATTTTCTGAGACAGTAGATGAAGTTTCTTTTACAGTCTCTTCACTACTTGGCTCATCCTGCTGTGGAGAAAAGTTCTGACTGCCTGAGCCAAGCATGGGGGAAGGCTGAGATGATGTGTAGAAGCTGGATGGGCCATTTTGCAGGAGTTCAAAATTCTGATCGTCAGGGAATGAGTCATACAGCTCTGTTGAGTCAAAGTTTAGTCCCATGGCCCCTGGAGTGCCATTGGCCCAGAATTCTTGCCCGCTACCTCCCCTCAGATTCGTGGTGTGCCCTGGTGAGCCTTGCCGATTGCCACCAACAGTACCATTCACTGGATACTGGGAAAATAGTGGACTGTCCTTGAGGTTGTTGCCATTGCCAGATGGATATTGAGAGTAGTTCCAGAGATAGTCATAGGGATGGTGGAGTTGAGAGTTGGTTGAGGAGCGGGTCCCTGAAGTACTAGCATGAGATACAGTAGATAAGCCATTAACATTCATGTCTCCATTCAAACCTGCCATGAGGAAAGAGCACAATAAATGCTAGGAATACTGACTGAGGGCAACATCTTTTGGGCCTGTCTCCTTTGCCAAGGCAAGGGTGAAGACCAGAGGAGATAAAACACAATAAAGCTGGGTAAATAGGATGAGAAATATGTATTAGCATGCTGCCTGAAAAAAGCATTTTATTATATTGATTTTCTCAACAAAAAATAATCCTGTGATGTATGCCAATGATAAACCGAAATTGTTTGGTGGAAGGACATAAAAATTCAGCAAGTATCTCACATGGTAAACATACCTTTTGTTCACATGTTGAACCCGTATCGTCTACATATGTGTATATACTTGTACAAGTCTTTAAGATCATGTGCATTTTAACAACCTAAATGATAATACCTCATAACAAAAGCAGGAAACCTCTGGCATATGAGCCAAATGTGGACTTTCAGACCTCCACATTCTCTGCCTAGGGAACTGTGACATGATCTGTAATGTCCTCATATTGGCTGTACTCTTCAATTATTGTAAGGATTTATCCCACCCCACTCTGTCACCAAACTAAAGAGCAGATGGAGGGAACCTTGCACAAGCTGGAGGAAAGAATACCTTGATGCAAATGCCTTTTTAAAATGTTAGATACAAAGCTAAGAATCATATCGTTAATCCAACCTACATTTTTGCCTTGCCAATTTCTGCAATGTGGATCCCAACAGGGTTTGGTTAAGGTAATGCAGACCTTCACAAGATGAAGATTTTCTGTTCCTGCCTTATAATGTTCAGGCAGCCAGATATTTTACCTTAGCATTATTTTGCAAAAAAAATTGTTGAAGGGGTATTGCTGACACAGGGGAAAGCATTCTAATATATCAAATAAACCTTAATTCAAGCATCTCAGTAATTGGAAGAAGTGGGGGAAGGGCAATTGAGAACCTGTCTTTTTCCCTAGTCTAAGATGTTTAAATTCCTGTCACTAAATGAATCTGGTGGGAGCAGAATGGAGGCTGTTTTTCTTGCCTTCTGATTTTCAAAGAGCTGCATGGACTTAGCAGAAAAACATGGGTTAATTAATCAAAGATTGCCATAATGCATGACAGGCATGTTCCACAACTTCACTGAATCTTCAACCACCATTAGACCAATCAGGGTTTCTATATGATATCCTAATCCAGACACTATTGCTTAATCATGGGTTAAACAAGTACAATTAACCTAACTACTAACTATAGTTTAACTGTGGGGTTGTTCAATTAAACTACCATATATGCCCATGTTTAAGATGACCCTTGAAGTGAAAAATAGCAAAGCAAAAATTTGGGATCATCTTATATGCCTGAGACCAGAAAAACAGCCCAAAGTATTGACCTTGTATAAGCGAGTCACCTTATACGCTGATATATATCTTACAGTTTGTCACTGTTACATGTAAACCAGGTCAAAGTTTTGGCACAACTATTTTTATTTATCAGATTTATATCTCTCCTTTTTCTTTTCTTTTTCTTAAGGAACTCAAACTATGGTCATGTTTCTAAGATTTTCTTGGTCACCACGAATGATAAAAAAAATTATTAGCTTTAACATGTCCATCTCTCCTCCTACCTTTTTCTATCTTCAGTATGGGAAGATCTGTAACCTGGCTGTTTCCTTTTTTGCCTTTTTGAAAAAGGATGCTAACTTTATGTCTTCTGATAGTCCATTCTTAATCAATGGTGGTTGCAAGGGTTTTTTGTGATTTATAGTATTGCTATCATCAGGGGGCCTAATAAGTATTTGTACTTATTCTAAGATTTTGAAACTGGAACATTTTATTATCTGAGCAGGTAAAGAAGGTATTATTATTACCAGCTTTACCTGCTAAAGTACTTTCTCAAAAGGCAAATGAAACAGCAATAATTCTTGAGTGCCACTCCCAAAGTGTTATTAGATATTGCCTAATCCCACAAGTTTTTTTTCATGCGTATGGCTTGATTCTTCTCCTCGTTTGTAATAATATTAAAGAAAAACTCAGTTTTTTTGCACCATCTCCAGAAAGAGCTCTCTCACAGTGATCCCATGGATACAAGGGTTCATACAACCTTAATTATTGCAAGATATTCAAACCCCTTACAGATCCCCTGAGGCTCAGCCATCAACCTTGTAATTAACATTGCCATCCTGCAAAGAGATACCTTGCTCTCTAAAAGCAAGGTATCAACCATTAGTCATAACTCCATACTCAATCAACACACAGATGCCTCAAATATCACAATGATCCAGGACCACTGCACCACACTTACTTTTCCCTTGCTGTGGGAAATTCATGGGAGAGCCATTTGTGTAGATGTTGTCCCCTGAGGAAGGCGCAGACTTCAGTCCTGAGGCAGTAGGTGAAGAGGGAAGGCCAGTGAAGTTAAAATGGTTGTTTGCCTCCATTTCTGAGGAGAAACACAAGTCATATAACAGAGAGTTAGAGTCAATACACAGATGCAGTTCTTCTCAGAAAGCATTAAAACTCTCCCTCAAGTCAATTCCCATTTTGTTTTATTGGCTAGAATGGGTTGATGTTTCATGTGAACCCAGATTAATTTCTGCAGGAAAACAAAATACCCTGACAACCCATAGCTTGTTCTAAGGGTTATCAACCCTGTACCTTGATTCAAAGTTGCTCCCAATTGGTTTTTACTTCTTTGAGTTCTCTTGACAGCTTTCAAAAGATCAGTTAATCAAGGCAAAGCAAGTAAGAGAGATCTTCGCTGATAAAAAGGGGTGGTGTGATTTACATCCTCTTTGTGGCAAGATTTTTCCCCATCCCCCATGAAACTTTCCTAAGAATGAATTCACTTTTCCAGATGTTCCCAAGCCCCTAGATGCTCAGAAACATGGAAAGTGTGAGCCACCACCCTTTGAAAAGGAGCTAACCAAAAATAGCTGTCAAAATTCTAACTCCTGTTAGAAGGTATTTTTTTGGTTAGGTTGCTTATGGATCCTTCACAGGGACACATGTAGGCATGAATGCATGTGAAGACTCCACAGAAATCTAGTTGTGAAAGTGCTGGTTTCTTTTAAAAGGAGGGTGGCTCACACTTTTCCTTGTCCCCAAGGAATGCTTAAAATCATGAAAACTAAAAGAATGTGATCACCCTTAGGATAGTCTAGAGCTCCCCGCCCCCCCAAAAAAAGCCATTAAGGAGTCCCCCATGGACAACATTCCTCCAGGCCTTCCTGTCCTCCACCATCCCCCGGAGTCCACCTAAGCTCACGCCGACTGCTTCAGTGACTCCATCCAGCCACCTCATTCTCTGCCATCCCCTTCTTCTTTTGCCATCTATTGTTCCCAGCATTGGGCTCTTCTCCAGGGAGTCCTTCCTTCTCATTAGGTGGCCAAAGTATTTGAGTTTCATCTTCAGTATCTGGCCTTCTAAAGAGCAGTCAGGGTTGATCTCCTCTAGGACTGACTGGTTTGAACGCCTTGCAGTCCAAGGGACTCGCAGGAGTCTTCTCCAGCACCACAATTCAAAGGCTTCAATTCTTTGGCGCTCAGCCTTCCTTATGGTCCAACTTTCACAGCCATACATTGCAACTGGGAAAACCATAGCCTTGACTATACACACTTTTGTCAAGGAGTATAAATTGCACTATCTCTTTTTCACAAGTAAATAAATTTGCACTTTTCTTTTCCTTGATGGTTTGTCTTTTCACAATTAGGAGCCTCATTGGACCAATGTCCAGGGTTGGTAATATAATAACATTATGCTGAATTATGACAGCACGTACATCCCAGGACACTAACTCAGTTGAGCCTTCCAACTGTCACACTCTGTGTGCACCTCCAAGTTGCACAACTGTGGCCAAAAAAAAAAAGATAACAGTTGACTTCCCCACCAATACGCTGCTTGGCCACTTTGAAGGAACTTTCGAAATGGAGATCATGAAAGTGAGCTTTCAAGCCGAAACCATTTTGCAACTGTGGCAGGAATCAGGACAGAAGTTGGCCCTGCTATGGGATCTCCTGGGATACTGGTGGGAGCACCAAGGGAGAGGGACAGGGATGGAGAATGAACCATCTATGGTGAGTCCAACTGTCTGTTGGGCATTTAATGGACTTTTCACAAGATAACGAGACCAACATGACTTATTGCCAGGGCAAGTTGTTGCAATGTGCAAATGCAGCTATTACAACTGAGGGATGGGGTGGGGACAGCAGCTGAACTAGAGAGATGCTCACCTATGACACTCAATGTTATCATGGCACGGATGAGTTTTGAATTGGGGATTTCCTCTGCTACTGTTCTAGACTAGTTCTCCAAATTAGCAATGTTACATACCATTTTAATCAATACCAATAAGGCAGTTAATTCAATGACAATTTATTCAAAGAACGTGTCTATTTTGTAAGACTCCTGTTTATATCAGGAACCAAGCTAAGCACATTATTAACTGAAAGATCTCTGCCTCCTAGATGAAAGGAACAGGAGGTTCTTTTCATATACTATTGAATATGCAGCAGGGTGGTTTTGCAGAATCAAAATAAGGTGGCTTATTTTGCTTATGATGCAAGTGTATGGAACACCCATAAGAAACCACACAGGCAGTGGCTTATTGTGATAATGTGAACCAAGCCAGTATGTAATGACAATCCAGAATAACAGTTGTCACTGAATTGTGGGTTGTTGGTGAACTCTCACTACATGTGTACTATAGTTTAACTATGGTTTGTTAATCACGAACAACCAAGGAAGAGAACCCATGATTTGTTGTTGGGTTATGAACTCCGGCTTATTGTGGCCCACAGCCTATAGTTAAACCATAGTGCAGTGTTCACATATTACAACTCACAACCCTTCTTTGTCTAACTATTATTTCTCCCCCAGCCTGTCCCAACTGTGCACAATTTAGCCCATGGGCAGCTTCATCCTGTCAATTTCCTTGTATGTTGCCTACTCCCTTT